ACCACCACCAAATCAACCACGAAAAATCCGACAACCACGAAAACATAAACCACCTCCGTCACAAATAACCCGATTACATCCTCATAACAACCATAAGATGTCTACAAGAGCAAAAGAAGGGATTCTCAAACTCAACCCCAAATATCTAAATCACACAACGACATCCTCAATCGATGCTCCGGAACCTCGTACGGCTATTCAAGCACTGAAAGATGAACAGTGGCACCGGGCAATGGGTACAGAATACAACGCACAAATTGCTCTCCAAAGCTGGAATCTGGTTCCTCCTCCACCATCGAATGTCACAATTGTAGGATGCCGCTGGATCTTCATGAAGAAATATAATCCTAATGGCACATTAAACAAATAAAAAGCATGCCTCGTCGCCAAGGGATATAATCAGCGTCCCGGTCTCGATTATGCTGATACCTTCAGTCCGGTCATTAAAGCTACAACCATTCGCACTTGTACTTGGAGTTGCTGTTGATCGCGCTTGGCCTATACGACAACTTGATGTCAACAATGCTTTCTTACAAGAGACACTTACTGATGAAGTTTATGTGCAGAAACCACCAGGATTTGTCGACAAGAATCGACCCAACCATGTTTGTCGTATTCGGAAAGCAATCTATGGCCTTAAACAGGCACCACGGATATGGTACATTGAATTAAAAACTTACCTTACATCCGTTGGCTTCATTAACTCTGTTTATTCTGAAGAATGGCAAGTCAATCCTCTATATGCTTATATACGTCGACAATATACTGGTCACCGGGAATGATTCTAATCTCCTCCAACATACGTTACAAGCTCTCGCAACAAGATTTTCAGTAAAGGAACATGAGGACCTCTACTACTTTCTAGGCATAGAGGCCAAACGGGATCACACGGGACTCCACCTATATCAGCGCAAATACATCATCGATCTTCTTGCTCGAACGAACATGCTCACTGCAAAACCTGTAAGTTCCCCAATGGCAGTATCTCCTCAGCTTTCTCTTCACTCTGGCACACGTTTATCTGATCCAACAGAATATCGAAACATTGTTGGAAGCCTACAATATCTGTCATTCACAAGACCAGACTTATTGTACGCAGTGAATCGACTTTCACAATACATGCATGCTTCAACATCCGAACATTGGCAAACAGTGAAACGGTTACTCCGCTACTTAGCAGGAACAATAAGCCTTGGAATCAAACTCGAACAACAACCGACTATATACTGTGATAATGTGGGGGCAACTTACCTCTGTGCAAACCCAGTGTTTCACTCACGAATGAAACACATAATCCTCGATTATCACTTCATCAGGAATCAAGTTCAAACAGGAGCATTGCGAGTAGTACACGTCTCCACACGGGATCAACTAGCAGATGTCCTCACCAAACCACTTCCTAGAGCTGCCTTCAATGACTTCTCGAACAAGATTGGCATGACTAAACTCCCGCCATCTTGAGAGGGCGTATAAGGATATCATCATATCCTAGATTGAGTGAGTTACGCTTATATGATTGCATACATTAAGCAGCTAAATATGTGTAATTGATATTCTCATTTATTATCTTCAAATACCCTAGTATGTAGTCTGTATGTATATATACTCTTTACAAGTGAAATAGAATGAACAACTTCTACAATCTATATCTCATGTGATGTATATAAGCATATAACCGGTTCATGGTTCATGGTGTGGGCGCACGTGGGTTCCGGACAAAGATACACTTTCCTCTTCACTCCTTTGGTTGACTTCTGTTTGAGCTTCCATGGGAGATTGTGTCCTCCTCGGTGAAGCTGTAGATTTTGTTCTCTCTAAAACCCTTTGTTGCATACACATCGCATACGAAACTGTTTGTAGCAATTAGTGAGATCTAAACGGTTAATCGACGGGGACTAAATCAAGACAATGATACGAACAATTTCAAACATGCATATAGAAAGAAAACCAAATCTCACATACATTTATGGCCTGTCGATAATAATGAAATCTTGATACGAGTGTAAAACAGAAGAAGAGTTAGGTTTTTCTTTTCTTTTTTCAAAGCTTAATTATCGTGATTTTACAGAAAGACATATTGATAAATATATATATGTAAGAGATATTTGCTTGGGTTTCCAGGTTGATTTCTTCGTTTCTTGGCTGGTGGAGCTGAGGAGTTAGGTTGTTGAATCATTGACATGAAAGTATCTTCCCGTCAAAGTCGTTATCTCCGGCGCCGGAGCCGGTGATGAAGAAAGGCTGAGCAGAGGATGATGATGAAGGAGCAACGCTTGTGTTATATAATGATGACGACATCTTTAGACCTTCTTAGCGTGGAAGAGAATAATAATCTACAAATATTCCATATAAAAAAAGTTGAAAAACACTGCGAAAGAATTCAAGTTATCGCTTCAGAGGAAAACGATTGGAGGAATTAAGAGCAGGAAGAATCCATATAGATTAACGACATGGGAAACTTTTATAAATACAATTCATAAAAGACGTGAAGGGAACAAAGCAAAATAAATTAAGGGGTGTATTCAAACTAAAATTTATATTGATTTGTATTAAAATTACAAACTCTCTGTTATTAAAACATAAATTCTAAAAAGTTGTTTAAAATTCAATGTTATTAAACAAGTGATTAGTAAATGTAACTTCAAATTTACTGTTATTGGAGATAATTTAAGTAGTAGATTTTAAAAAATTTGGAGTGACTTTAGGATGTTTTGATGGAATTTCTTAATTCAAAATATAACAATCCAAATAACATGGTTTTAGGTGGAGTTTGATAGAATTTTGATATCAAATCATAACAATTTTCATAATTCAAACAAATCATTTAAAAATTCATTAAATCTCAAATCCTTCTAAATCATTTCAAATGTTAAGTTGAGTACACTTCCCTTAAAGTTTATTTTTATTTTTTGTAAGCTTTTGAAAGAATATAAGAAAAAAGATTTCGAAGTTTTTTTTATATATAAATACCTGAAATCAAGAGGAAAGCAACCAAGAAGTAAAAGGAAAAATACTCAAAAAGCTATAAATCGAAGCTAAAGAAAGAACCAAGAAGATGATGGATGGATGCATGATGATGAAGAAGACACTATTCACACTATTCTAAGACCATGTTCAATAAGATAATCAATTTGAATATCTATACATTAAAAATTATTATTTTCTTTTTCATGATTTTGTAAAGAAAATAAACAAATAATTAAATGACATTGTGTTAAAAAAAATTAAAACCCGATTCTTAAGTCTCTATATAAAAACCAACTCTTCTTTCTCTTTTATGATTTTCAATTTTTTTTAATAATTTAATATTAAAATACTACTTAAGAAATCCGCATTTAACATGCTTTTATAATTCAAAGATAACTCTCTTTTTTGCCCAAAAAATAAGAAAGATAAATCTCTCTCTCTTGTGTTCTTATTCTTTTTATAATAAGTCATGTATGATCTTCAAAAAGTATGTACCTAAGGCTCTCTATCCTATTTTATTTTTATGTCAAAGAAAGAAACCTTTTTTACAAAATTTGTAGTTTTACAATGAAGATGAATGAAGGTTACGGTTTGGGTGACTGCTAAAACGTTGAAATATGCAAAACTATTTAACTTCTTTAACTGGTTTTAATAGGGTTTTTTTGGTACGAGTTTAATTTCAAATGGGGGGAGAAGAAATACAACAAACGGTTAATCGGTTTTCACATTTCATCTCATTTCATCATCTCAGGTTTCAATCATTTTTAATCATATATGGGTATGAGTATATAATTTTAATTTGAGAAAAAAAGAAACAAACCGCTACTTTTTGATTTACTAAGTCGGTTATTTGTATATTTCACATTTCAGTTCATCTCATTATTATATAATATAACCTGTCTTCATCATTCTTCATCTCCGTCATTCATTTTTTCATCTCATTCAGATTTTTTTTACAAAAATCATGTTAAAGAAGAACGGGTCTTTGCATATTGATGAAGTATGACACGTTGGATTGGAAACGTATTGCAACATCATTCTTATCCAAAAGAATATATAAAGAAATCATTGATTCAACTAATATAAGCGATGATGATGGATTAAATTAACAAGATCTTTTTTAAAAGTGTATATAATTTTAATAAATCTACACAAATGTTAAGTAACAACCTTGTGCAAAAATTTTATGAGTTAATATAGCCAAAAGCAATATTGTGAAATGTATACTCTTTGGTAATTGAGTTTTTATTGCAAATACACTCTAACAATTAAATCAATTATAGTGAACCATTTCAAATTGTTAATAACAATGGGTTTTTTTTTTTTTTACGGAAAAATCTTTAAAACGAAAATCTCTATATATAGTTAGAAATATTATTGAGATAATTTCAGAAATTTGAAAAGTTTAGGAAACTTTATAGCTTTTTAAGGCTATAACTTTTTTAGTTAGATAAATTTTAAAAAAATGGTTTGATGAAGGTTATGTGAATAGAAACTTCAGTTAGTGTGTTTAAATGATTTGCAAACATCAAACTAAAATTGATCCAAAAGAGTATGATACTGAAATTATTATACCATATATATATATTTTTAATAAAAAGTTCAGTTTGTATTTCAAATCAATATATCTAACTGACTAGATATATATAGTTTTTTTTAACTATGAAGCTATGGACTAAGTTAAGTTAAAAAAAAAAAACTGTTTGATGATCTTCAGTTAGTGTGTTTAAATGATTTGCAAACGTCAAACTAAAGTTAATCTAACAGAGTATGATAATAAAGTTATTATACCATATATATTTTTTTTAAAAAATAAAAAGTTCTAGTTTGTATTTTAAATCAATATATCTAACTGACTAGATATTATAACCTTTTTTTTTTACTACGGAGCGATGGATTATTTACTGCTTTAAAAAAAATGTTTTCAAATTTCTACAACCCAAATTTTAGATTAGCCAATTGAACAACAGTAGAGTTTAAAATAATTGATTAGCAATACTCAATCCAATAAAATATGTATTTACAGGAAAAATTATAAAACAAATAATTAGATAACAGTTTAAAAGTTTTAGAGTAAAACTAATTCACTTCCCTTAACTTTCAAAGTCTTACAATAAAGCCCACAATGTTTCTTATTTAATAAATATTCTTGATACTAGTACGAACAAGATCCTCCATGGTGGTGGCTTTATAAATCGGACAAATGCCAAAAGAAGTTACAGACATCGATCGGGTGGATTACAACCTTAGGAAACCTTCTTCTGTGTGTATCTAACAGAGAAGAAGACAAAAACTGGAATGTTGACACAACCAAGACAGACCAAAAGCCAGAAGAAGTAGTCAAGATGGCCTATGTTAAGGTTGTCTGAAGGAATCCAACCATCATCTTTCCCGCTCAAACACGCAACAAGCGTAACAATCATCGAGCTCAAGTAGTTTCCGAGTGTGGTAGTGAGAAGAGCCCAAGCACTACACATACTTCTCATCGAATCCGGAGACTGCTCATAGAAAAACTGAATCCGACCAACGAAGAAGAAAACTCCAGCTGTGCCCATAAGAAAATACTGAGGGATTTGCCAGAAGATACTCAACGGAACAGTGTCTCCACTTTCCACCAGTTCAATATCTCGTGCCAACCGTAACCGAACCGTCTCAACGATAGCTGCAACCGCCAAGCTCAAGACAGAGACGAAAAGTCCAATCCCCATACGTTGTAGATCAGTGAATCCTTTAGCTAAACCTGTGAATCTCCTCACGAAGGGAACGATGAGTCTATCGTAGACTGGAACTGATATGAGGACACTCGCAGTGTCGAACATCCCAAGAGTAGCTGGAGGGATCTCGAAGGAACCGATGGTTCGTCTCATGGACCTTCCTTGTTGAACAAACAAAGTGTATATCTGTGAATGAAGGACTGAGAAAACGATCCCTGAGGCCCAAATGGGGAACAAACGTAACAGAATCTTGACTTCTTCGACTTGAGTCACGGTACAAAGCTTCCACGGATCGGATTTTGTGTCTCCTTCTGAGATAATCGCTGCTTTGTCAAGAAACCTGCACATTGATATGAAAAAACAGATTAATATAAACCAATGAAGAACAGTATAATGATCAAATTGTCAAATAGAGAAACTAGAGGGCAGAAGATTTTCTTGTAACCGTCCGTGTGTTCAATCTTCCGCTTTACATCCGTTATTTCGAACAGAGGTGTGTGGTCTTCTTCTTCATGGACATTGAGGTTCCATTTACGGTATGAGGCTACAAGAACTTGGAAAGATCGAGTTATAGGGCTGCCTCCAGGTTTCTGAAACCTGTAGAGAGGAGTGCCAAAGAAGAAACTCGCAGTAGCAAGTCCCATGAACACTGTTGGTATCAAGAATCCAAGTTCCCAACCACAATTCTCTTGAATCCACACTAGCAAAGTAGATGAGACAAATGCACCAACGTTGATTGAGAAGTAGAACCAGTTAAAGAAAGATGATTTTCTGACACGTTCCTTTGGATCAGTCTGATCAAACTGATCAGCGCCAAAGGATGAGACACATGGTTTGATTCCTCCGGTTCCAAGAGCGATTAGGTAAAGCCCTGAAAACAAAACCGCTTGCTGAGCCATTGTTGCTGGTGGACAAATGGAGCCTTTACAATCCGTTGGCTTCAGACTTGGAACTGAAGCTGAGAGTGTCAGTGCAACCATTCCCTTACAAAACAGATTCAAAGTACACAACATCAAGCAAAAGAACATAACCGAAACAGTTTGATAAGAACAGAAGCTTTGAAACTTCTTTAACTAACATACACAGCTATAATATGCTACAATCTATCCTATTGATGAACCATTTTGTTTATGGAAATTCTTACGCTGAAATAAATCGCAGAGAAACAAGCAATTGTCCAGTATCTTCCCCAATAAGCATCAGCTATTAGAGCTCCAAGAAGAGGAGTGATGTAACATGTTCCTTGCCAAGTCATGACGTGTCTAGCCGCAGAAACATTGGTCTCATGCAATTTGTTTGTGAAGTAAGTGATTAGATTCTTGGCAATGCCATAATAAGCCAAACGTTCGCAGCATTCGTTGGCTGCACCAAAGCAATACCGGTTTTTGGAAGTTAAAGACAGGACATGAGAGGATCATAAGTATTACAATTGAAGATAAAGAAAGTGTTTTTTTTTACCAAAAATGAATGGGCAAGCTTTCCAGTTTCCTGTGTTCTGCTTCAATGGTGGGTTTCCATTAATATCCACTGAACCATCTTCAGCATACAACTTCACTTCTTCCTGGAAGAAAACAAAAACAGTCATAGATCTTCAGAGACTTATAACTCAAACATAATTGTATCAGATTGGATCATAAAGTTATGTTAACGCTTCATTTATCTTCCTCATGATAGAAAATTTTAAGCAATTCTTCAGACTATATTTTTCTCTTTTTTTTGTTTTTGTTCAAAATTCTTCGGAATATCTTTAGGGATAAGAGACTACAACAAGTGGAATTGAAGAATTGATTATACATAGAGACATGAGGTTTGTACCTGTAAAATAGATTCTTCAACTTCAAGGAGTGATCTTTCTTCATCAATGGAACTCATCTTTTTTACTTTTGCCTGAACATGACAACAACTTTCACACAAGCTGATTTAAGCATCTCTACGAATAATCAATTAAAAAAAATGATTCTCGCACTGGCCAAGTTGTTGGTGTGAGTGGTCGGTCACTCACCAGTCACCACAGAATCACATTCTTTAGTTTTGAACTTTTGATACAGTTTTGTCTACAAAAATATTGTGATTAGTTTCTATTCCATTTTTTGAATCAGAGTGATTGGATTTGTATGGCTTATATATTAGTGGGTTTCTTAACAATATATGTTGTGCCAATCCAAAACTTCCAAAATGAAATAAAATATACATTTTTTTTACTGCAAATATGCTTATAAACACATGTTAGATGTTGGCAGAAAAAAGTAAACACAATAACACATGTAAAAGTCGAAATAATTTTCTAACGTCCTAGTCAAAAGAAATAAGTAGACACAATTAGGATGCAAACTCCGACCATTAATTAATAAATTTAAAAAATTTGGAGGGCTGTGTATTATTAATTTGGCGAGTTCTTACTTTTTAAAGCATCTCCAACTCTATTCCATTTTCAACTTCAAATGCTATTTTAGAGTAAAATTCTCTCTAACCCTACTCCATTTTCAACTCCAAAATAAAGTAAACATAAATTCTACTCCATATTTGGAGTAGATCTAAACTCTAATTCATTTTAGAGTTATACTTTTTTATTTGCAAATTAATCATTTAAAATTAAATAATTATATTTTTATACTATTTAATATTTATAAAAATATTATAAAATTGATAATTATAAATATTTAAACATTGCAATTATTCTTAAAAAATTACAAAATATAATAAACTTTAAAATACATAATAAGTGCTAAAAATAAGATAAATAATATAAATAAATTTAAGACAACAAATATAAAAAACACTAATAATAATTTTTTTAGTAATAGTAATGTTTACATAAAAATTACATATGTTTTTTGTAATGTTATGTAATTTTTATTATTTGATAAATATTTAAGTTATAGTTTTTGAAAGAAATTGTAAATAATAAAATAAATGGGATTTATTTCTAAATTTTCAAAACTAAAAAGTATTTATAATAAAATCGAATAAGAATCTATTTAGAATATTCCTTTTGGAGTAGAAAATGGAGAAATACATTAAAGCAAAATACAACTTCATTTTGGAGTTACTCTATTTTAGAGTAGAAAATGAAAAAATAAATTGGAGATAGTTTTAGAGAGAAAGAAAATTGACCTTTTCAAGATTTGTGTTGCATGCCATTAATTAAGCAAAGTCAGATCTTCGAAAAGGTAAACCGGCAACCCGTAACCGCCGGTATAAGCTTATTCGTCTATTGGCGTCTCCTTCCGCCGATTCCCATTGACTAACGCGTTAAAAGTGACTGATGAGACAACTTTTTTCTCTCTTTTTTCGTCTGCCAGTGATATATCCTTTGTGCTGCCTCGCTATAATACCATTTTATAAATATTTTGGAGAAAAAAAGAAATAAACAAACACTATCTGATTGTAAAATACTAGCAAAAAACATGCACTCCATGATATAATAAAAATGCATTTAGTTAATATTCTGACAATAACAAAAACTTCAATGAAACATATGATGAACCTTAATATCTTAACTTTGTGTAAATTATTTACGTTTTATTTTTGATCGACAGTATTTCATAACATGGTAGTTTTAAAAATGTTATTTGTTTGTTGAAAAAATGATAGTATATTGTTGGTAGGGCAAATGGGAGATGTAGCGTATGAAATTAATAATTATAAAATCTAATCAACGGTTGATTTAGAGATTTCATGACAAAAGATAGCTAGTAGTTTTCAACATAGTAAATTAATCCAAGCCTAGGGTCGTCTAAAGCTGTGGGAAACTAGTTTGATTAATTGTCAAACTTTATTTATATAGGTCAATCCATAGATTTGATATATATTTGATTTTTTTTACTATACTTTAAAGTTTAGATATTATTATATACACGAAAGTTAAATATTTACCAACGCCACGTTTAAAAATATAGTCGAATTTTGTTCTCAGCTTATACGCGGTCTAAATTGTGTATTGACAACAACAACAAGAAATATGGTCGAACAAAATACACGTTATACATTTCGGGCGTGGATACTCGTAATGGTTGAAAATTAATCAATCGTGTAAATTGTTATAAAACCAAAACCATTTCCGATTCAATTATTTTTCAGCTTGGTGTTGACTTTTAATCAAAAGGAAAAATAATATTCAAACACCTCTTTTTCCATTTCAATCTCTTCAAACAATAGTAGTCATCATGTTTTTTTGTTTGTTTTTGTGTGTGTATATTCACATTGGTATGTAATTATAGGTGGACATCATAAACGTTTTAAGTTTTAATTGACATAACAAAATGTTTAATTCAAATAAACCATACCAACCTGATAAGTAAAAATATATGCGAGAAAGCTGAACGGAGCTTTAATACGTATTCCCTAAAATGAAACATGAATTCGATCAGAAACCAGAATCATACCAAATTGATCCATGATCTTGTATTATCGGTCGCAATTTCTCAACTATATTTTCAAAACCAAATAACTTAAACAAAAGTTGAATTAAAGTTTGAATTAAACATCTCTAACAACAAATATTCAGAATTTTCACCGAGCACGATCATTATTAATGATTTTTACGTTATTGAAAAAATACGACAATTAAGTTGATTAAATTTGTATGACTCCATCCAGTTTAATTATTTGATTTGACCACTCCTAAAAAGATTCGTTGATTGGATATTTTCTGTAGTTGTTAATAATTTTTAGTCTTCTAAAACGAATATTTTTAACAAAAGTTTTATTGGGTTTGGATTCTTTAAACGGCGGCTCTCACAAGTCACAACACCTAAAGAAAATCACATTCGAATTATACATAACAACTTGAAAATGCTAATTTTATTATTTATTTTCTCTGACCACCTTTATCGTAGTTGATTTTCATAGAGAATAATAATAACACTATTTGTTGCATGTGAAAAAAGCAGGGCTATTTTATTTTAGTTAGGTGTTATAAATAAAGTAAAAAAACAATATTAAAACAATCGACTATTTACGAGCCCAAAAACAAAATTCTACTATTCTCTCGACAAAATAAATATATTTTCAATTATCTTTCATGCTGTCATAAGTTATATACTTTTAATATTCAGTCAATAGTATATTTTTGTACTCCTTCTTATTTTATAAAATTTTAAAGTTAAAAGTGTAGATTTTAAGAAATTCCTTTTTAGAAAACAAAATATCATTTAATAGCTAGTTAAAAACACAATTTTCTAATAAATGAAAATTGAAGAATTTCAATATTTAAAAGTATCAAACAACATTAAATTTTACATAAAAACTTATAAATTTTTTCCTATTAAAAAAACAAAAAAAAATCATTAAACATCTTATATAATGAAACAGACGAAGTATTATTCATACCTCTTTTTTACGAACCGTCAATATGAGGCTCAGAGGCTGGAAAGCATAGCATACGGAGTTACGAAATAATTTCAAGACTTTTACGTACAAAGCGAATTTTCTTACCAATAAGTCATTAACCAATAAAAGCTCTAGATGGTTCATGGTTAGACCCAAAAAAAAAAGAAGCTTTAGATGGTAAAAAGAATAATTTTCATTATTTTTTTGGTCAACTGAGTGCTTATGTATTTTAAATATTCAGTTTTATAAAACTAATCGTTCGTTCGCTTATTACGATTAGTTAGTCTCGAAAATCTAAATATTATAGTAATGAAAAGTCATTGGTAGAAAGAAAGTTAAAAAGGAGCCCATAAACGAAGACCAGCGATGATGCTTCCTTTCACGTAGCAAAACGAAACAAAGAAAACTTTTCTCTTCACTATATATACCATTTGCTCATCGTCTTCTAAATCCACACACATTCTTCAACTACAAACAATAATTATCACAGATTCTTTCCTCTCTCTCTCTCTCTCTCTCTTTGGTCATTTCAAAACTAGAAATCAAAGTTCAAACAAATTCAGGTGAATTCAAAGAAGATGGTTTTGTCTAAAACAGCTTCGGAATCCGATGTCTCAATCCATTCAACTTTTGCTTCTCGTTACGTCCGCAACTCTCTCCCACGGTAAAAAAAAAAAATAGTTAACATTGAAACACATACTTTTGTCTGGTGCTTTAAAAACAAACCAATACGATAAAGTTTCAGCTTTACATTGACGCATCTATATTATACGCATGCGTGTTTTCATCCTCAGATTCGAAATGCCTGAGAACTCGATCCCAAAGGAAGCAGCGTACCAAATCATCAACGATGAGCTGATGCTCGACGGTAACCCTAGGCTTAACCTAGCCTCCTTCGTCACCACATGGATGGAGCCAGAGTGTGACAAGCTTATGATGGAGTCCATCAACAAGAACTACGTGGACATGGACGAGTACCCTGTCACCACCGAGCTTCAGAACCGATGTGTCAACATGATCGCGCGTCTCTTTAACGCGCCACTCGGTGACGGCGAGGCCGCCGTTGGTGTCGGCACCGTGGGTTCGTCGGAGGCGATTATGTTGGCCGGCTTGGCTTTTAAGAGACAGTGGCAGAATAAGCGTAAAGCCCAAGGGCTTCCTTATGACAAGCCCAATATCGTAACCGGAGCCAATGTACAGGTAAACCAAACAAAATGAAACATTAATCGAAAATGATGATTCCGGTTTAGGTCAATGCTTTACTGAATTTCCGGTTTAATACAGGTTTGCTGGGAGAAATTCGCAAGGTATTTCGAGGTGGAGCTTAAGGAAGTGAAGCTAAGTGAAGGATATTACGTGATGGACCCTGAGAAGGCGGTTGAAATGGTAGATGAAAACACGATCTGCGTTGCGGCTATCCTCGGTTCGACACTAACCGGAGAATTCGAAGACGTTAAGCTCCTCAACGACCTTCTAGTCGAGAAAAACAAGCAAACCGGGTAACTAAAGCAACCGGATTAAGAAAAGCTATTGATTCATCGATTTTAACCGGTTCAAGCCCGGTTTAACGTTTTTGAAAACGCATTTTTCAGATGGGATACGCCAATTCACGTGGATGCAGCAAGTGGTGGGTTTATTGCACCGTTCTTGTATCCGGAGTTGGAGTGGGATTTCCGGCTACCGTTGGTTAAGAGCATCAATGTGAGTGGTCACAAATACGGTTTGGTTTACGCTGGTATCGGCTGGGTTGTGTGGAGAACCAAATCCGATTTGCCTGATGAACTTATCTTCCATATTAATTATCTTGGCGCTGATCAACCCACATTCACTCTCAACTTCTCCAAAGGTAACATATTACATTACTATTTCTACATTTTAATAGAACCATATATTATATATTGTACGCATTTGGAATTGTTCTGTAACTAATGATTTGTTAATGCTTGTAAATATAAACCAGGGTCAAGTCAAGTGATTGCTCAGTACTACCAGCTGATTCGTCTTGGATTTGAGGTAATTCAAGAATGATCACTTTATTATTGGTATTTTGTATTAATACCGAATTAACACTATCGCTATACTTTCTCTAACAAACAAAATAGATTTTGCATTAAAATTTCTTTGACAAATAATTTTGGTATTATTGAATAACTAATAAGGCTTTTATTTTTGTTTAGGGATATCGCAACGTGATGGATAACTGCCGCGAAAACATGATGGTTTTAAGAGAAGGCTTAGAGAAGATGGGACGTTTTAACATCGTCTCAAAAGAAAACGGCGTTCCATTAGTGGCGTTTTCTCTAAAAGACAATAGCCGTCACAGCGAGTTTGAAGTGGCGGAAACTCTCCGACGTTTCGGATGGATCGTTCCGGCTTACACGATGCCGGCGGATGCTGAACACATCACCGTTCTCCGAGTTGTGATTCGAGAAGATTTCTCTCGTACCTTAGCCGAGAGATTGGTCGCTGATTTCGGGAAAGTTCTTCATGAGCTTGATACGCTTCCGGCGAGGGTTCACGCCAAGATGGCTAACGGAAAAGTTAACGATGTCAAGAAGACGGAAAAGGAGACGACTAGGGAAGTTACCGCGTATTGGAAGAAGTTTGTGGAGACAAAGAAGACTAATAAGAACAAGATTTGCTAATAAAATTTAATGAATTAATAATGTTTTGTTGTTGTATCCCTAATTAAGTTCCCTTGAAACCCATTTCCTTCATACTTTTGAGATTACTTTTGGTTTTGTTTTTTTAATTGATTTTATGTTGATGATTGGTAAATTTGATGTTCTTGAATGAAATAAAATAAATAAATTTTTATATTTTATCAATATTAAAAAAAATGTTATACTTTTAGTCTTTTAATTCCAACATCTTTTTTATCAGTAACACGAGAAAGATATACCTATTATAATTATCTAAAGATTCAAAATACACAATTTATAGACTTTTGTTTTATATTCATCAATTTTCGATTTCCAGTTTTTAACCATGAAATGTCAATTAAACAAACTAATTTTTTTTTTAAACAAAGTATTAGTTTATAGTAGTTTCGATTACATTTCATGGTAAATCGATGATAATCTCTGTGATTAGAGCTTTTACGTAGATTGCAATTAGAGCTTTTACGTAGATTTCGAACGAATTAAACCATTGACTTTAGAGAAGAGTTTCTTATTGACAAAACATAGCTTAAAATAAAAGAGTCGGTACAGCACCAATGATTCCACTCTTCCAAAGCTGCTTCTTGGGTTGTGTTCAGTTTTGGTTCTTTGCTAGATTCATCTATCATCATCTCTTTCTCGTACTTATCTAGCTCAAAAGAGACATGGCTTTCTGAATGCAACTAGTTGGTTTGTGGGAACGGCCTTCCCCATATTCTCCAGTTTCTCTGACATGTGGAGATAAGTTAGCATAAAAGTTAACCCTTCGTCCCCCTCAGAATCTTGCCTCATTATGAAGAGTGCCTCTCTCCCACAGCACCACTTCAAATCTCGAAAACTAATCGAGCAAAGAGAGAGAGACATTGTGAATTTGATGATTAAGAGAAAGAGAAAAAACAGGCCAGAAAAAAAGGGAAGGAGACACATTCACCAAATCATGAAAAATCAGTGATCATAAGAGTATAATTTTGAACATCAATGCCCAATGGTAGCTTAACATTTCAATTGTTTATGCAGCTCTCTTAGCTCGTATTAAAGTTTGTATAGAACCTAGCTAGGCATACAATACTTTTGTATTAAAGTTTGTATAGAACCTAGATAAGCATACAATACTAGTTCATCTAAACAACTAATTAAATAGTTGTGTTTTTAGTAATACGCGTCTGGTTGAAATTGTTCTAAAAGATTCATCTTTGGCAAAAAAAACTAAAAAAAATAATTAAGAGTCCTGTCTAACAAATTAGCAAATGATTTATGATTGACTAGTAAGAAAATTGTTCTATTAGTAACCTAATTGATGACAAATACTAGCTCCTTGGTTTCTTGGTAAACCTTGACGAAATTGTGCGACGAGTTTCCTCCGGTACTCAGTTACTTATGATACTATGTACAATGGTACAAAGATTCAACACCCTCCACCTCAATTTTTAATACTCTACATCATTTTTTTTCTCTTCCACCTAATTATTCAATACTCATTCAATTTATTTTGGTTCCAATGGTTTTGTTTAATAAAATTCACACCATACCCTACTAATTTATTTTATATTATTATGTTCTTTTATCTTCTAATAATTACATCTTAATAATAATTATTGATTATGATCAAACTAAACAAATTATAAAATTATTGGGATCCATTTTGAGAAAAGAAATTTTAAAACTAAAAATAAGTGTTTATAAAAGAATTTGTAAAATTTAGAAAAAATAATTTTTGTGTACGTCCAAATCAAATGAACCAAATATCTATTTATAGAACATGAAAAATGATAAATTTTGGTATATAAAAAACTATTTATATATTTAATTCATTATAAAATAATTGATATTGAATAATTGAGATGAAAAAAGAAAATCAGAGATCTAAACAACCAATCAGAATTCAGCTCATATTTTATCTCTATATAAATATCTAATTTATTTTTTGGTTCAATCAAATTAAGACACGTGGCTATTACTTTTACTTTTCAACGGAATTCAACATGTTGAATTAATTCAACACTAATTTCTCCACATAGATTTCAACACCCCATTATATACATTTAACTGTTGAATAAATTATTCAACATACCCATTGTAAGTAGTCTTATGATGTTCGATTCCTTAAATATTACTTATGATATTTGATATTACTGAAATAAGACCTTACTGTAATGTGATGTTCGATTCCTCGTGATTACTTCCTCTGTATGATAACAAGTTGGAGACAATAAGGTCTTAATCTTTCACACACAGATCTCGGATGAAATCAAACTCCTGATTTCTGTTACAAATTTTCAAACAATTAAAAAGATAGTGTGCAACAATTTTGAGTTTTTTCGCACATATTCAATAACCTATAGAAATGATAATTTTAATTTTATTTATCATCGTAAAAAGAATAAAATGTTCACACAAAAAAAGAAATATATAAGCAGACAATATGAATTATAGAGTTACTTATTCAATACTTTTTTTCTAAAACAATTAACATTTTTAAATAAAATAGTATTATTCTCTGATCTCGACAAATTAATAAAAAAATTACTCTTTTTATTTATCTTTTACTTTTTTCATATTAATAAAAATGAAAAACGAAAAGGCTATCTTTTACGTTGTCATCAATTACACTTTTATTATTTAATCAATATATTTTTATATAATTATAAACTTCTTTTTGGTTAACCGAATGTGAGGCTGGACAGCATAGAATACGGGAGTGACAGACCACCAATTCCAAAACATGTACAAAGCAAATTTTCTTACCAGTTAAGAGTTTAGAATAAAGCAAAAGAGATGATTAGTTATTATTTGGTCTGTTTTTTTTTTGTTTTTGGCTGAGCCCCTTTGGAACGATTTAGAGGGTTTGCTTTCCTTCGGTGGACTCTTGGTTTCCTTATTTTGTGATTTTATTTCTCCGGCAATTAATTTGCTTCGGTCTAAGACGGTTATGTATAACTTCCTTTTTTTCTCGAGAAAATCTTGAACCTTCCAGTTTCTCTTTGCTCTTACCCTTTCTATTTAGTCCACTTTCCTTCTACAAATCTAAGATATCTCAATCCAGCCAATTGATATGAATTCTTTAAAATTTGTGAGTGAATATTGCAAACTTAATTGCAAATTTTCCCTCTTCTGCGCTGATCTCCTCCCAAGTATTGACTCTTCACGACGACGGAACCTCTGTACCATCGCCGGAAAGTGGTTTTTCATGGCGGAATCTCTGCAAGTGGCAATTAGCAAGATGAACATCCAAGACGATGACCCCATAGAGCTTTCAGACAGCCCGCATTTCAAAGTCTTCGATGAAAACGCAATGAGTCTGCTCGGCCGCCTCCTGAACCCTGATTGCCAACCAATGAATATGATGATTGAAGATATGCCTCGAATTTGGAGGGTGTACGACAGAGTTCGTGGCATAGCATTGTCAAGAGACAAGTTTCAGTTCATCTTCCAAAGGGAAGAAGATATGGAAACAGTTCTGAAGGATCGCCCGTGGTCGTACAACTAATGGACTATGCTATTAGACAGATGGATCCCCTCTCCTCCCTCAGATTTCCTCACCTCAGTAGACGTTTGGATCAGAATCAGGAACATCCCGGTAAACTACTACAGAGTTGAGACAATGCAGCTTCTAGCAAAACGTATCGGGTTTGTCCATGAGATTGCGTATGACCCAAAAAGGTCTCAGAAGGAGACCTACATCCGTGCACATGTCAATCTCAAGATCTCTGACCCGGCGTGGAATTCCAAGACGTTAAACTTGCCTTAGGAAGGGTCGGTACTCATAGAATACGAGTACGAAAAATTGAAGAAAAGATGTTTTCATTGCCAAAGGATAACACATGAGAGACCAGCTTGCCCCTTTTTGCACAAGAAACATCAACTGGTGACTAGTAAACCGATGGGTTCACCTCTCCCCCAAAAGTTACCAGCCCCAGTTGCTATTCACAAGCAGAGTAACAACGAAGCCAGTTTGTCGGTTCCGCCGGGCTTCTCCCCTTTATTCAAGAACCTGCCAAGGGATGAGAGACAGACGGCCCTTCAATATGTCTCACACAGCGATGCCACGGAACGTCAAGCTAGAATTCTACGAGTGGAACAATCATTGGACCCTACCCTCACGGAAACGTTTTCAAGGATGCCTCTGATAACACACGATCTGGATAAGGGCAAAGGTCAGGTTTTTGGGTCTGAGGAGCAGAATCAAAATTTCAAGAGGAGAAACACCGACGATGGTTCTGCCCTCATATCAAGCCCCCCTGTGCTTAATGGTACTAAATCCTTTAAGGAACTACTGATGGAACAGGAAGTAACCTCATCATCTACTCCGATTAGTGAAACGGGTTTCCGAATGGGTTCTGGTTCAGATTCCCTTTCGGCCGGAACTAAAAGTGATGGGAAAAAAAGCAGACGGCGCCCAAGCAAATGGAGGAGAAAGATCAATGTTCAATCCTCTGTAAAAGGAAATGAAGTGACCTCCGGGTTCGTAGAAGAAAATCAAAACATTCAGTCTAAGACTACAGGGGATCATTGTCTAGAAACTCACCCTAAGAGAAAGGCTGTAATGAGTGTTGGAGAACATTCCTCAAAATTTTCAAAAACAAACAACCTTCCGGTGGCTTCCGATTTGAAGCCGCTGCCATCCCAATGAGTATTCTGAGCTGGAACTGTCAAGGTGCAGGAAGCACTGAGACAGTTCGACGACTCCGGGAAATACGAAGAAAGTATTTTCCGGACTTTTTATTTCTTATGGAAACTAAGCAAAAGAAGGAGTTTGTTACGAGTCTGAAGAATGGTTTGGGTTATGATCAGCTGATAACAGTAGAGCCAATTGGCTTGAGCGGGGGATTAGCTGTAATGTGGAAGGATAGTTACAAGGTAGAGGTTCTTGAGATGAATAAGAGAATAATAGACATGAGGGTCAAGATGGGATCCACTCTTTTCTTTCTAACTTGTGTGTATGGGGATCCGGTACGTGGAAGGAGGAGAGAAGTATGGGAGAGGCTCACAGGATTGGGATTAGTACGAGACGAAGCATGGATACTTGTAGGAGATTTTAACGAGCTTATGAACAATGAAGAAAAGCTTGGGGGATCGGCTAGGAACGATTCCACCTTCTGGGATTTTCGAAACATGGCTGAAAATTGTAAGCTAAAAGATATTAGGAGCTTGGGTAACACATTTTCGTGGGCTGGGTGGAGAGACGACATATGGATCCAAACAAGGGAAGATTCTTCTTTGACAAGCGCATGTTACAAATAGAAGGGATTGAGGATATAATCAGGACAGGATGGAATGGAAATGAGGAAAACGATACTCTGAACCTGATGGATCAAATTTCGCGATGCCGCAGAGAGCTCTCTAAATGGAAAAAAATCCGTGGACTTAAACTCTCAGGATCGTATAGTGCGTCTCCGACAAGTTTTGGAGATAGAATTGAGGAAGGAATTTCCAGATAGGCTCATAATGCAGAACACTAAAAGGGCTTTGGCAAAGGCTTATCGTGACGAAGAGATATTTTGGCAACAAAAGAGCAGAGAAGAATGGTTGAAATCGGGGGACAGAAACACGACTTATTTTCACAATTATGTGAAAGGGAGAAAAGTTAAAAAAAGGATCCTCATGCTCATTGACGAACTCGGCAGAGAACAATTTCAGGAGGGATCAAAAGGAAATATAGCTGTGGACTACTTTCAAGAACTGTTCTTAAGCACCAATCCCGTGGATATGCTTGCCCTCTTTGAAGGATTTAACCCAAGAGTAACGACGGAGATGAACGATATGCTTATAGCCCCAGTCACGGCAGAAGAGATAAAGAGAGCAGCGTACAGCGTAAAGGGCAGTAGTGCTCCTTATCCCCTCTTATCTTCATTCTCTGCGCTGAAGCCTTAGTAAGTTGCCTCAATCAATCTGAGAGTCAAGGAAAGCTACACGGTATTAGCTTAACTACCAACAGCCCAGGTGTACATCATCTGTTGTTCGCAGACGACAGTCAACTCATGTGTAAAGCATCAATTGCTGAAGCAAATGAGATAACAAGATGTCTGAAGTTATATGGTGATGCCTCTGGACAGCTAATTAATAAGACAATGTCGTCAATTATATTTGGCTCGAAGATAAAAGAGGACGTCAAAAATGAGATCAAAATAGCCTTGGGAATAGATAAAGAAGAAGGTGAAGGCACTTACCTAGGACTACCTGAGTGTTTTAGTGAATCTAAGAGTAAAATGTTGAATTTTATCAAGGAAAAGCTTAAAAACAGGGTCCATGGATGGTATGCTCAATCACTCTCACAAGGAGGCAAGGAAATTCTGTTGAAAGCGGTGGGTCTGGCAATGCCAGTCTTTGCTATGTCATGTTTTAAATTGCCAAAAGGATTATGTGAGAAGTTAACAAGCATCATGGTAGACTTTTGGTGGAGTAGTGGGAATAACAGAAACAAAATATCTTGGGTGGCCTGGAAAAGATTATGCAAATCAAAGGAAAGCGGTGGGCTAGGCTTCCATGACATCAGCCATTTCAACCAAGCTCTCCTAGGCAAACAGGCGTGGAGAATCTTGAGCAAACCCGATTCTTTACTTTCGAGAATACTGAAGCAACGGTACTTCCGTAATGCTCCCTTTGTAGATTGTGGGATGGGCTCTAGACCGTCTTATGCTTGGCGTAGCATTCTACATGGAAGAGACCTGTTGAAACTGGGCTTGCTGACATCAATTGGTGATGGAAGAGATACAAATGTATGGGCGGCCAACTGGTTGCTTGATGTTGTTCCAAGGCCTCCGAGGTACAGACAAGATAGTCACATCGACTTAACACTAAGAGTCTCTGACTTGCTGGACCCAGTTACCAGAAGATGGAATGGAGAACTCCTCCGCCAACTGTTCGACCCTGATGATGTGAGCATAATCCTGAAAATAAAGCCAGCGCAGGATCAACAAGACAAGCTGATATGGGGTTTTACAACAGACGGGTAATACACCTCGCAAAGCGGATACCGGTTTTTGGATTCACACTTAGAGATGCAGAACCCACAAGGACCGAGAATGCCTCCTCTGGAAAAGCAGTTATGGTCCAAACTTTAGAAAATCAAGGCCCCGCCAAAACTAAAACACTTCTTATGGAATTCTTTAGCAGGTGCTCTCGCAGTTAAAGAAAGGCTACAATCGCGACAAATACCAATTGACGAGACATGTAGCTCATGCGAGGAAGAAATTGAAATAATATGCCATGCCCTGTTTGGTTGTAAGACTGCAAGAGACACATGGGAAATATCCGGATTCTCATTACCTCTGGCAGGTTTCTCCTCAAACTCAATGTTCTTAAACATATTTCATCTGCTTCTCACCAGCGGAAAACAAGAAATCCCACAAGAGATCAGACTAGCGTTTCCATGGATTCTATGGCAACTTTGGAAAGCTCGCAACACACTCACCTTCAAAAATGTCAGATTGTCACCTGCAGAGATAATGTCCAAAGCCCTAGATGAATCTGATGGATGGCTGCGTATCAATGGTATATCTAAATCAGTTCCTAGCCTGCAAATATCTGATTATGTATGCAGATGGCAAAAGCCTCCACAAAATTGGCTGAAATGCAATATTGGAGCCTCGTGGATCATGCCAATAAGAAATTGTGGGGTAGCGTGGATATTGAGAGATCACATAGGAAGATCAGTACTGCATAGTTGAAAGGCTTACTCGACCATCACTACGCCAAGTGAGGCAGATATATTGAGTTTACTTTGGGCGGTTGAATCACTGGCCTCTACGAACCAGAAGAACATCATCATCGAATCATCGCCGGCTCAGCGGAGGGAGGTTCTTCTTTCACCCCAGCGTTTCCCCCAATTTCAAGATCTATGCTCTCAAATATTCATGCATCTACAAGCCTTAGAATTTTGGAGTTTGAACTACGTAGCTAAGGAAAGGAATCATGTTGCAGAGGAGATCGCAAGAAGTGTAACGAGAGATCATAGGTATCAATCGTATATTTCACAAGATGGCCCTTATTGGTTACTTCCTATCTTGGTTGCAGAAGCAAGGGGCTATGATTGATTCGCTATTACTCTACCTTTCGAGTTTAAAATGCAGGTTATTTATCCTGGGCTTTTCAAGTTTAAGTTTATTATGAACTTCAGGCTTTTTGCCATGTAAAATACCTTCTGGTGTCAACTTTTGCAACCTCCGAGTATTTATCAATGAAACCATTCAGTGTCAAAAAAAAAAAAAAAAGCAAAAGAGATACTCACTTTAATTTATTATATACATATATATATATATATATATTAAAAAGTATTTTATCTCTTATTATTATATTAAGTAAATTTTCGTTTTAATTAACACACTAATATTATAATAATAAATTCGATTTTTTTTTAAATTACATTGAAAATACATAATAACACTTTTTATAAAATAAGACCAAAAATTTAAAATAACAATTTTAGAGAAATAAAATGAATAGTCTCTAGATGGTAAGAAGGAATAATTTCAATTACTAGATGATTTTTCGAGCTGTGTGCAAAATAAACTTTCTTAATTTTTTTCATTGTGTAGATTTTTTTTTTTCAAAAAGTTAATATAACTTATTATTGAAATATTATAAGTTATTAAGAAAAAGTTAGCACTCGTTAAATAGTGTCAAAGAATAATTTAAAAGTTATTGTATTACAACGAGAGAGAAAAAACAAATTAGCTAAAGTATATTTTGGGACTGAAGACAATTTTTGTATTAAAGTGGCAATGGTCAATTTAGTTAATGTTTATGGATTTTATTTATTTATTTATTGAGAAATATTTAATCATTCAAATTAATAAAGATAAATTGCATTTATAGAAAATGAGATTTAATATCCACAAGATAATAATTTTAAAACATCTCAATTACATTGATTTATATTCCTAAATAAAAAAATTATGTAAAAATTACTTTTGGTAACTAAATCATCTAAAAGACATCTTATTTGAATTAATATTTGTCTAAATTTCTAGATATTATTTACATATATATATATATATGTATATATTAAAATTATATATTTCAAATAAGAAACTTACATTTTCTTTTTTCATTTTTTGATTGTTTTTTTTTAAATAGTGTATCAAAAGTTTGAATATCCAAATATTGTGTATACTACATTAATGAGCACCTACTTATTTAAAAGTGATTATTACAGAAATTCAAAATAGTTAATTCAAACTCGTAAAATATAAACACCTGTCCACGTTATCTTTTTTTTTTTACTGCAGCTGTCCATGTTATCTATTTGCTAAATTCATGTCAAATTTTGTAACTTTTTCATAAAATCATTTCACAAATACTATTTAGGGAACTTTAGTAAAAGCCATGTCACATTTTGATTGATAAGAATGATTGTTGTACTGAAACCTAAACTTTTTCATAAAACCATACATCACAAAAACTATTTAGGAAACTTATTAAAAGCCATATGTCACATTTTATTTGATAAGAATGATGGTGGTATCAACACATAAGATGTTTCTTGTAAATCATTTCTTGTCTAGGAGATAGTATTCGTTTGTTGGCTTATCATGATAATTCGTTAGTGTATTATAGTATTGAAAAGTCATGGTTCCCTTTCACGTTGCAAAACGAAGCAAAGAAAACCTTTTTCACTATATATACCATTTTGCTCATCGTTTTCTAACACCACATATTTTCCAACTACAAACAATATTACAGATTCTTCCCTCTCCTTCACTTTGTTCATCACTCGAAAAAGTTCAAGTAAACTGAAAGCTGATGGTTTTGTCAGCTTTGGAATCCGATGTTTCAATCCATTCAACTTTAGCTTCTCCTTACGTCCGCAATTCTCTCCCACGGTAAAAATAAATAAATTGAAACACAATTCCTTTTCGCTGACGTTTTAATATTTTATACGCGTTAATCTGCTTCTACGAGCAATTTCGTAAGTTTAACGTAGTAATGTTTTTATCTTAATCAAAGCATTTTTGTTATACTCTTTAATCTGCTTCTAGGAGTAATTTCGCAAGTTTGGCGTAGTAATGTATTCATCGTCAGATTCGAGATGCCTGAGAACTCGATCCCAAAGGAAGAAGCGTACCAAATCATCAACAACGAGCTAAAGCTCGACGGTAACCCAAGGCTAAACCTAGCTACCTTCGTGACCACATGGATGGAGCCAGAGTGCGACAAGCTCATGATGGAGTCAGTCAACAAGAACTACGTTGAAATGGACGGGTACCCGGTCACCACCGAGCTTCATAACCGATGTGTCAACATGATCGCGCGTCTCTTTAACGCGCCACTCGGTGACGGCGAGGCCGCCGTTGGTGCCGGCACCGTGGGTTCTTCGGAGGCGATTATGTTGGCCGGCCTGGCTTTTAAGAGAAAGTGGCAGAACAAGCGTAAAGCTCAAGGACTTCCTTATGATAATCCCAATATTGTAACCGGAGCCAATGTTCAGGTAAGCCAATATTGTAACTTCCTTATGTAAATGTGACAAGTCAAACTTCCTAAAATAAATGAAATATTTTGATTAGTTGAATTAAAATCAAAGAACTTATAGAATTAAAACATAAAAACACTATATTATAAATGAAATATTTTGATTAGTTGAATTAAAATCAAAGAACTTACAGAATTAATAAATTTTAAATTATCAGAAAATAATTATTATTATGATTTTAATATTTTATATATATTCATAATTTCATAAAATATAATTAAAAATATTTTCAATAAAAAAAAAATATATATATATATATATATGAAATAGAAAAAATAATACTAAATTATCCAATACAATAGTAAGGATTTTATATATTAATAATGTTTGAATTATGATATATTTTTATTTTGGAAATTTATAAATTTACAAAATATAGTAATAGCATCTAAACAAGTTTTAAATAAACAAGCTATTAAATAATTCAATTTCAAATAAAATACAATCATGAGAAAATTAATTTAAATAATAAAATGTTAAAAATTATAAAAAAATAATCAACTTTTATTGAAATTTTTTTAAAAACGTAATTTTAAATAAATTTTCTTTTCAAACCAATATTTACTAAATGAATAAAGTATATACTAATTATTATTTTATAATATAAATAGGACCATATAGTTTTATAAAAAATTTATCACATTTTTATTGTTGTTTTCTAAAATATACATAACTTATGTTACCATTTCATCTTATCACTTATCATAATTAAATATAAAAAAATTATATCATATTCATATATATATATTTGTAATTTTTTTATTCCATATCAAAAATTTGAGATCATAAATAAAATAAAAAATAACCAAACGAAATAATAAATTAAAATAAGATGAAATAAATATGAATAAGAATTAAAAATAGAAGTATATAAAAATAAATCTCTCGCATTTTGTTTTACAAAGACACGTAAAAACTTTTTAACATGTAAGAGCCATATTTCGACTTTTTAAAAAATACGCGTACAGACATAAATATTAATTGTGCATTAGTAGAAGTCACATGAATTTTTTTCGTGTATGTTAGTATTTGTTAAGCTTGATTACAGTCTAATTTATATTTTAATTTTTATAGTACAATTTATTTTATTTTTAAAATTTTTATCTATTCTAAGTGTAGTGAGGTGGTTGGTACCTCCACATATGCATGTCAACTATCTATCCGCTCTTAGGATAAGTAAAAATGGTAAAAACTATTTCAGTTTAATTTACAATAAATGAAAAAAAAATACTTAAAAATATATTATATACGTATTTCAAATTCATATTATGTAAGACGTAAAAAATTATTGTAGATTGTGTAAGGTAAAATAAAATATATTATAAATAATATTCAAAAAATATTATAAAAATTTAATTATTATTTAATATAACTTTTATATTTTTATTATATATTATTACAAATTTCATAAAAATAAAAAGTTTTTAAAATACATTAGTTTCAGAAATAAATTATGAAATACGAAAACAATATATATTTATATATATATATATACAAATATACTAATGTTTTAACTATGTGTATCAAAAATATTATATTAGCACATATGTGCGGGCCAACCACCTAGTTTTGCATTATACTTTCTTTGACAAATAGTAATGATGATTTTGGTATTATTTGAAAAACTAATAAGGTTTTCATTTTTGTTTACAGATATTGCAACGTGAAAACATGATGGTTTTAAGAGCAGGATTAGAGAAAATGGGACGTTTTAACATCGTTTCAAAAGAAAACGGCGTTCCATTAGTCGCCCTTTCTCTGAAGGACAATAGCCGTCACAGCGAATTTGAAGTGGCGGAAATGCTCCGACGTTTCGGATGGATCGTTCCGGCTTACACGATGCCGGCGGATGCTGAACACATCACTGTTCTCCGAGTTGTGATTCGAGAAAATTTCTCTCGTACCTTAGCCGAGAGATTTGTTGCTGATTTCGGGAAAGTTCTTCATGAGCTCGATATGCTTCCGGCTAGGGTTCACGCCAAGATGCCAAACGGAAAAGTTAACGATGTTAAGAAGACGGAAGAGGACACGACTAGGGAAGTTACCGCGTATTGGAAGAAGTTTGTGGAGACAAAGAAGACTAATAAGAACAAGATTTGCAAATAAAGTTTAATGAATTAATATTATTTTGTTGTTGTATCCCTAATTAAGCTCCCTTTGAAACCTATTTCTTTCATACTTTTGAGATTATTTTTGGTTTTGTTTTTATTAATTTTACTAGGAGTTTGGCCCGCACGCATGTGCAGGCATAAACAGTTTAAAAAATTTAATTACATAAATATAATATCTAAATCGTTATAAATATTTTAATTTTTTGTAATATATAAAAAATTAGGTAGGACGATAAGTTATATGCTCTAATAGCAAAATATGGTATAATTTTAACTAAACATTTCATTATAACAAAAGATCCATTTTATTATATTAAAGGGTCAAATGGGTCAGACCCGTGGATAGTTTGTTGAGCGGGTTACCTGCTGCGGATTTGCGGGTCAAGCGTACATACCTGTAAATTTCATCATCTTCTTTGTCTTCTATTAATCTTCCTCAATTTATCCAGTTATTTAGCCTCTAAATTCTCGAAGACTTCTTTGTATAAAACAAATATATGAACTAAAATAAATTAAACAAAGAAAATTATTTGAATTTAAATATATTCCAACTTCTCTTTGTATATTTGTTTAGCTTTTGTTTCGTGTGGACAACAAAAATGGGCTATTTAGTTAAACATTGTTAGATTAATATTATTTTGGAATATATAGCCGGTGCATGTGATGGAGACAATTTTCATAATTTTTATACAATTTAACGATACAATTAATGTTGCTTTGGATTATATTGCGGAAAGGCAATCTCAAAAAGACTGTTAAAAGTAAATAATCATACTTCGGTTAACAAAACGTGATATACTCTAACTTCTCTTTGTATATTTGTTTAGCTTATGTTTTGTATGGACAACAAAAATAGGTTCTTTAATTAAACATTAATTGTTAGATTAATGTTACTTTAGATTATATAGTCGGTGCATGTGATGTAGATATAATATTTATACAATTTAACGTGTACAAATATGTGCATGTAATAAAAAAAATATAACATATGTTTTGTGCATATGATAAAAAACGACGGTTTACAATTTATATTAATAATTAAATATTTTATATTTTTCAGCTTTCATATAATAATTATTTGAACTAAAATAAATTAAACAAATAAAAAAAATTTGTCATGTCATCATCCACATGTATTAGCAAATGTCATGTCACAATTACATCATCATTACACATCATCATTTTCATGTCACATTTAATTAGGTTAGATTGATGTTCTTAACCAATGAAATTAAAACAAATCAGCATATTTCATTAAACTACATTGTCAATTAATAGGTAGAAGATGTTGATGATTGGTAATTTTTATGTTTTGAATAAAATAAAATAAATAAATTTTTATATTTTATCTACATGAAAAAATTGTATACTTTATTATTCTTTTTAATTTTCACAAATTGTTTTTTATCAATAACACGAGATATACATATTATAATTGTCTAAAGATTCAAAATACACAATTTATAGAACTTCGATTTATTTTCATCAATTTTCGATTTCAAGTTTTTAACCACGAGAGATGTCAATTAAACAAACTATTTTTTTTTAAAACATATTATTAGTTTATAGTAGTTTCGATTACATTTCATGGTAAATCGGTGATAATCTCTGTGGTTAGAGCTTTTACGTAGATTTCGAACGAATTAAACCATTGATTTTAGAGAAGAGTTTCTTATTGACAAAACATAGCCTAAAATAAAAGAGTCGGTACAGCACCAATGATTCCACTCTTCCAAAGCTGCTTCTTGCGTTTGCACCTCACGAGGGTTGTGTTCAGTTTTGGATCTTTGCTAGATTCATCTATCATCATCTCTTTCTCGTACTTATCTAGCTCAAAACATGCCTCTCTGAATGCAACTAGTTGGTTTGTGGGAACGGCCTTCCCCATATTCTCCAGTTAATCTAACATGTGGAGATAAGTTAGCATAAAAGTTAACCCTTCGTCCCCCTCAGAATCTTGCCTCATTATGAAGAGTGCCTCTCTCCCTCAGCACCACTTCAAATCTCGAAAACTAATCGAGCAAAGAGAAAGAGACATTGTGAATTTGATGATTAAGAAAAAGATAAAAAACAGGCCAGAGAAAAAAGGGAAGGCGACACATTCACCAAATCATGAGAAATCAGTGATCGTAAGAGTATAATTTTTGAACATCAATACCCAATGGTAGCTTAACATTTCAATTGTTTATGCAGCTCTCTTAGTTCGTATTAAAGTTTGTATAGAACCTACCTAGGCATACAATACTTTTGTACTCCCTCCGTTTTTTTATATATGATGTTTAAAGTTTTGCACAAAGATTAAGAAATTATTTAATTTTTTTTTCCAAAACAAAACATCAATTCCAAAACAATTTAACCAATAGAAAAATAATATACTCCTTCTGTTTCATAAAGAGTGTCGTTTTAGAGTTTTGTTTTTGTTTCACAAAGAGTGTCGTTTTAGGTTTCCAATGCAAATTTATAACAGAATATCTAGTTTTAACCTTGTTATTTTAGTGTATTAATTAAAAAGAGAGAGTTATTTAGTGTATTTATTAGGGATAGAAAAGACTTTTTGTTAACTTTCTTAATTTGCGTGAAAAGTGTCAAAGTGACACTTATTTTGAAACAGAGGAAGTATAAAATAAAACAATTACTTTTTACATTGATTTCTGAAAACATCATCTAATTATGAATAAATTTTTTTTTTTAAATATCTTATAAAGAAAAACGGAGGAAGTATTAAAGTTTGTATAGAACCTAGATAAACATACAATACTAGTTCATCTAAACAACTAATTAAATAGTTGTGTTTTTAGTAATATGTGTCTGGTTGAAATTGTCCTAAACGATTCATCTTTGGCAAAAAAAATAATAAAAAAAATTAAGAGTCATGTCTAACAAATTAGCAAATGATTTATGATTGACTAGTAAGAAAATTGTTCTATTAGTAACCTGATTGATGACAAATACTAGCTCCTTGGTTTCTTGGTAAACCTTGACGCGAGTTTCCTCCGGTGCTCAATTTTTTTCTTGGAGTTCATTATTTGATATTTGTTGAGCAGTATATTACTTATGTAACTGTAATGTGATGTTCGATTCCTCGTGATTACTTCCTCTGTATGATAATAAGTTGGAGACAATAAGGTCTTAATCTTTCACACACAGATCTCAGATGAAATCGAACTCCTGATTTCTGTTACAAATTTTCAAACAATTAAAAAGATAGTATGCAACAGTTTTGAGATTTTTCGCACATATTCAATAACCTATAGAAATGATAATTTAACTTTATTTATCATCGTAAAAAGAATTAAAATGTTCACACAAAAAAAGAAATATATAAGCAGACAATATGAGTTATAGGATTACTTATTCAATACTTTTTTTCTAAAACAATTATCATTTTTAAATGAAATAGTATTATTCTCTGATCTCGACAAATTAATTAAAAAATTACTCTTTTTATTTTATCTTTTATTTTTTTCCTATTAATAAAAATAAAAAACGAAAAGGTTGTCTTTTACGTTGTCATCAATTACACTATTATTATTTAATCAAGATATTTTAAAATAATTATAAACTTCTTTTTTGTTAACCGAATGCGAGGCTGGAAAGCATAAATAAAATACGGAAGTTACAGACCACCAATTCCAAGACATGTACAAAGCGAATTTTCTTACCAGTTAGAAGTTTAGTATAAAGCAAAAGAGATACTCACTCTAGTTTATTATATATACATATATATAATTAAAAGTATTTCATCTCTTATTAATATATTAAGTACATTTCCGTTTTAATTAACACACTTTTATTATAATAATAAATTGGATTTTTATTTTGAAAAAATTACATTGAAAATAAGTAATAACACTTTTTATAAAATAAGACCCAAACTTTAAAATAATAATTTTTGAGAAATAAATAGAATAGTCTCTAGATGGTAAGAATAAATAATTTTAATTACTATATGATTTTCGAGCTGTGTGCAAAATAAACTTTCTTAATTTTTTTCATTGTTTAGATTTTTTTCAAAAAGTTAACATAATTTATTATTGAAATATTATATTTTATTAAAAAAATTTAGTATTCGTTAAATAGTGTTAAATAATCATTTAAAAGTTATTGTATTACAATAGGAGAAAAAAACAAAACAAATTAGCTATTGTATATTTTGGGATTGAAAACATTTTTTGTATTAAAGTGGCAATGGTCAATTTAGTTAATGTTTATGGATTTTTTTAATTTATTGAGAAATCTTTAATCATTCAAATCAATAAAGATAAATTTCATTTATAGAAATTGAGATTTAATATCATAACATAATAATTTTAAAACATCTTAATTACATTAATTTTATATTCCTAGATAAACAATTATGTAAAAATTAAGTTTGGTAAATAAATCATCTAAAAGACATCTTGTTTGATTTAATATTTGTCTAAATTTCTAGATATTATTACATATATATATTTCAAATAAAAATCTTAGATTTTCTAGTTTAAATGAAATATTTATTTTACATTTTCATAATTATTAAAAAAATAGTGTATCTAAAGTTTGAATATCCAAATATTGTGATTACATAGAAACTTTGTCGAAGGTATGTTTTCCGTTTTCGAAATATTTTAAAAATCAAAACTCTCAAAAATTCATTAGAAACACAAAAAACGTATTTCCTAAAATTTTTAGAAACTAATTTTTTTATTTTTTGGAATAAATAAATAATTATAAAAATTACATTAAGTAATTAATTTAATTCTTTATATTAAGTTAATAATTAATTTGCTAATAATTATTTTGATTTGATAAATAAAAATAATTCTGGAATTATTGAGTTTGAAAATTGTTCTCTCGATAAATTATAATTAGAAATATTTTTAGTTAATAGAAATTATAATTAAAATTGATAATAAAAAATGTTCTAAATTTTTGATTTTACATATTTTAATTTAAATTATTTAATAATTATGTAAAAATATTTATTAAATTTTATTGATTTAAATATTTTATATGTTTTCAAAACGTTTACATTCAATATTTTTTAAAAATAGTATTTTCTTGTTTTTCTGTTTCTTTGTATCTGTTTCCATTTCTATACAATATCGGTGTATACTATATTTATGAGCACCTACTTATTTAAAAGTGATTATTACAGAAATTCAAAATAGTTAATTCAAACTCGTAAAATATATACACCTGTCCATGTTATCTTTTTTTTTTTTTTTACTGCAGCTGTCCATGTTATCTATTTGTTAAAGTCATGTAAAATTTTGTTTGATAAGAATGATTGTGGGTACTGACACCTAAAATTTTTCATAAAATCATTTCACAAATACTACTATTTAGGGAACTTTAGTAAAAGCCATGTCACATTTTGTTTGATAAGAATGATTGTTGTACTGACACCTAAACCATACATCACAAAAACTATTTAGGAAACTTAGTAAAAGCCATATGTCACATTTTATTTGATAAGAATCATGGTGGTATCAACACATAAGATGTTTCTTGTAAATCATTCCTTGTTTAGGAGATAGTATTCGTTTGTTGGCTTATCATGATTCGTTAGTGTATCATAATATTGAAAAGTCATGGTTCCCTTTCACGTTGCAAAACGAAACAAAGAAAACCCTGTTCACTACATATATATACCATTTTGCTCATCGTTTTCTAACACCACATATTTTCCAACTACAAACAATATTACAGATTCTTCCCTCTCCTTCACTTTGTTCATTACTCGAAAAAGTTAAAGTAAACTGAAAGAAGATGGTTTTGTCAGCTTTGGAATCCGATGTTTCAATCCATTCAACTTTAGCTTCTCCTTACGTCCGCAACTCTCTCCCACGGTAAAAATAAATAAATTGAAAGACTATTCCTTTTCGCTGACGTTTTAATATTTTATACGCGTTAATCTGCTTCTAGAAGTAATTTCGTAAGTTTAACGTAGTAATGTTTTCATCGTCAGATTCGAGATGCCTGAGAACTCGATCCCAAAGGAAGAAGCGTACCAAATCATCAACAACGAGCTAAAGCTCGACGGTAACCCAAGGCTAAACCTAGCCACCTTCACGACCACATGGATGGAGCCAGAGTGCGACAAGCTCATGATGGAGTCTGCCAACAAGAACTACGTGGACATGGACGGGTACCCTGTCACCACCGAGATTCATAACCGATGCGTCAACATGATCGCGCGTCTCTTTAACGCGCCACTCGGTGACGGCGAAGCTGCCGTTGGTGTCGGCACCGTGGGTTCGTCGGAAGCGATTATGTTGGCTGGCTTGGCTTTTAAGAGTAAGTGGCAGAACAAGCGTAAGGCTCAAGGACTTCCTTATGATAAGCCCAATATCGTAACCGGAGCCAATGTTCAGGTAAACTAAACAAGAACAAATTACACTAAACCGGTTTATCTATTTAATTGAAACACGAGTTTTGTTTTCTGTTTGAGTGTTTTCTCTATTTGTAGAATTAACCAAAAAATTGAATCGTTAGACCAGGGAATTGAAATATTAAACCAAAAATATGGTAATTCCGGCGTAGGTCAATGCCTTACTGAATTTTCGGTTTAAAACAGGTTTGCTGGAAGAAATTCGCAAGATACTTCGAGGTGGAGCTTAAGGAAGTGAAACTGAGAGAAGGATATTACGTGATTAATCCTGAAAAGGCAGTTGAAATGGTAGATGAAAACACGATCTGTGTCGCGGCTATCCTCGGTTCGACGCTTGCCGGAGAATTCGAAGACGTTAAGCTACTCAACGACCTTTTAGTCCAGAAAAACATGCAAACCGGGTAATTATAGCAAATCGATTTTTAAAAAGCTACAACGTAAGACTATTAAACCGGTTTGGGTCCGGTTTAACGTTTTTGAAAACACGCAATTCTTGCAGATGGGATACGCCAATGCACGTGGATGCAGCGAGTGGTGGGTTTATTGCACCGTTCTTGTATCCGGAGCTGGAGTGGGATTTCCGGCTACCGTTGGTTAAGAGCATAAATGTGAGTGGTCACAAATACGGTTTGGTTTACGCTGGAATCGGTTGGGTTGTGTGGAGAACCAAATCCGATTTGCCTGATGAAAATATCTTCCATATCAACTATCTTGGCGCTGATCAACCCACCTTCACTCTCAACTTCTCCAAAGGTAACATATTACATTACTTTTAATTTTTTTTTTTTTTGAACATTGTACATATTACATTATTATTTCGACATTTTTAATAGAACCATATATTATGGCATTGTTCTATAAATTAATGGTTTGTTAATACTTGTTAACCAGGTTCAAGCCAAGTGATTGCTCAGTACTACCAACTGATTCGTCTTGGATTTGAGGTAATTAGTAACTCAAGCATTTTCGGGATTTAAATAAAGCAATCACTTTATTAATTTGTGATCGAATATAGAATTAATATTGGAATTTTGTATGACTACTGAATTAACATGATCACTATAAGTTCTAATATGAGAAAAATAAATCCAAACGATATAGAAAGTTTGATTAAATGTGATGTTTTGGTGTTATTTAAAAATATCTAATGAGTTTTTTTTATATATATAATTTGTTTAGGGATATCGCAATGTGATAAATAATTGCCGCGAAAATATGATGGTGTTAAGAGAAGGATTAGCAAAAACGGGATGTTTTAACATCGTTTCAAAAGAAAACGGCGTTCCGTTAGTAGCATTTTCATTGAAGGACAATAGCCGTTACAGCGAGTCTAAAGTGGCGGAAATGATCCGTCGCTTTGGATGGATTGTTCCGGCCTACACGATGCCTGCAGATGCTGAACACATCACTGTTCTACGAGTCGTGATTCGAGATGATTTCTCTCGTGCCTTAGCCGAGAGATTGGTCGCAGACTTTAAGAAGGTTCTTCACGAGCTTGATATGCTTCCGACCAAGATTCACGTCGAGATGGCTAATGGAAATGAGGCAAAGAAGATGAGGTTATGTTAATAAAACAACATAGAAGATGAGGCAAAGAAGATTAGCAAGAACAAGATTTGCTAATAAAATTGTTTAATATTCTGTTGTCTCATTCTTAGTTAAGCGCTTCTTTGGAAATCCTTAATTTTCTTTCATGATGTTCACGTTATTCTTGGTTTCAGTTTTTTTATTTTTATTTTCTTATGATTTGATGTTGATGATTGTTAATTCTGATGTATTTGAATAAATTTAAAAAAAAACAATTAATCTAAACTCGTAAAGTACTCAATCATCCATGTAATTTTTTGGGTTAAAAACATGTCACATTTTGTGTGATAATGATCGTGATATCAACACCCAAGCTTTTTTTCTTAAAAATTACTTCACAAATATTGTTTAAAAGATTTAGTAAAAAAACCGTATCACATTTTATTTGATAAAAGTGACTACTGCATATGCTAATGACACCTAAGACTTTTCTTATAAAATCATTTCTTGTTTAAGAGATTCAGTTATTATAAAAGTAATCGCGTCGTTGGCTTAATTATGATTCTTTACTCTTAAATATTATAGCACTGAAAAGTCATGGTTCCTTACTTCCTTTCACGTTTCACGTTGCTCATCGTTTTCTGGCACCACATATTTTCAAACTACAAACAAAAATTATTACAAATTCTTCCTACTCAATCTCTTTGTTCATTTCAAACCCTCAAATCAAAGTTCGACAAAGTTCCAAGTAAATTGAAAGAAGATGGCTTTGTCTAAGACAGCTTCGGAAACCGATGTTTCAATCCATTCAACTTTTGCTTCTCGTTACGTCCGCAACACTCTCCCACGGTAAATTTCTTTTGTCTGAAAATTTTGAATGTATTGAATGAAACTAACCGTGACATTTTACCATACTGTCTCGTTTAATGTCATCGTCAGATTCGAGATGCCTCGAAACTCGATCCCAAAGGAAGCAGCTTACCAAAACATAAACGACGAGCTAATGCTCGACGGTAACCCAAGGCTAAACCTAGCCTCCTTCGTGACCACATGGATGGAGCCAAAATGCGATAAGCTCATGATGGAGTCAGTCAACAAGAACTACGTCGACATGGACGAGTACCCTGTCACCACCGAGCTTCATAACCGATGCGTCAACATGATCGCGCGTCTTTTTAACGCTCCACTCGGTGATGACGAAGCCGCCGTTGGTGCCGGCACGGTGGGTTCGTCGGAGGCGATTATGTTGGCCGGCTTAGCTTTTAAGAGAAAGTGGCAGAATAAGCGTAAGGCCCAAGGGCTTCTTTATGACAAGCCCAATATTGTAACCGGGGCCAATGTTCAGGTAAACCAAACAAAAAAAAATCTAAACCGGTTTAGCTATTTAATTGTGTATTTGGAAACAGAATAACTGAGTTTTTTTTCTGTTTTCTCAATTTGCAGAGTTAAACCAACAAAAAATAAAACGTTAGACTAGAGAATTGAAATATTGGACCAAAATATGGTAATTCCGGTTTAGGTCAATGCTTTACTGAATTTCCGGTTTGATACAGGTTTGCTGGGAGAAATTCGCAAGATATTTCGAGGTGGAGCTTAAGAAAGTGAAGCTAAGAGAAGGATATTACGTGGTCGATCCTGAAAAGGCGGTTGAAATGGTAGACGAAAACACGATCTTTGTCGCAGCTATCCTCGGTTCAACATTAACCGGAGAATTCGAAGACGTTAAGCTCCTTAACGACCTCTTAGTCGATAAAAACAAGCAAACCGGGTAAGTCATAGCAGACCGAATTAAAAATTACAAATTAATCGACTTTTTACCTGATTTGAGTCAGGTTTAAACGTTTTTGAAAAAATGCAATTTCGCAGATGGGATACGCCAATCCACGTGGATGCAGCGAGTGGTGGGTTTATTGCACCGTTCTTGTATCCAGAGTTGGAGTGGGATTTCCGGTTACCGTTGGTTAAAAGCATAAATGTGAGTGGTCACAAATACGGTTTGGTTTATGCTGGAATCGGTTGGGTTGTGTGGAGAACCAAATTCGATTTACCTGATGAACTTATCTTTCATATCAATTATCTTGGCGCTGATCAACCCACCTTCACTCTCAACTTCTCCAAAGGTGACGTGTTACATTACCATTTCCACATTTTTAAAATACCATATATTATATCGTATTATAACTAATGATTTGTTAACGCTTGTAAATATAACAGGTTCAAGTCAAGTGATTGCTCAGTACTACCAGCTGATTCGTCTTGGATTTGAGGTAATTAGTAACTCAAGAATAATCAAATAACCATTTTTGGAATTAAAGTAGAACAATCACTTTATTAATTTGGGATCGAATATAGAATTAACATTGGAATTTTATCTTATTACTGAATTAGCATCATCACTATACTATACTTTTTAACATGAGAAAATAAAATTCAAACGAAATATAACATTTGGATTAAACGTGATGTTTTCGGTATTTATTTGAACAACTAATGAGAGTGTTTTTTATATTTGTTCAGGGATATCGCAACGTAATAAATAATTGCCGCGAAAATATGATGGTATTAAAAGAAGGATTAGAAAAAACGGGATGTTTTAACATGGTTTCAAAAGAAAACGGCGTTCCGTTAGTAGCATTTTCTCTAAACGAAAATAGCCGTCACGATGAGTTTGAAGTGGTGAAAACGTTACGCCGGTTCGGATGGATTGTTCCGGCTTATACAATGCCCGCCGATGCTGAACACATCACCGTTATCCGAGTCGTGATTCGAAATGATTTCTCTCGTACCTTAGCTGAGAGATTGGTCGCAGACTTTGAGAAAGTTCTTCACGAGTTTAATATGCTTCCGGCGAAGATTCACGTCAAAATGGCTAACGGAGAAGTTAACGGCGTTAAGAAGACCGAAAAGGAGACAAAGTACACACTAACAAAAACAAGATTTGTTAATAAAATTCAATTAAATTAATACTTTGTTGAAACCTTTACTTTCTATGATAAAGATATCGTTAAACTTACCGTTCTTGTGGGTTAAAACTTAGTTACTTTTCCATTACGTCAATCTTGTTTTAGATTTTTTTACACCTTCAACATCTTTGTCAATAGCTTCAGCCACGTTGAGATTATAACATTTTTATTATCGGTCAATGTCTCAAAGTCACATCCGGCTAGAGCTGCTTGATCTGCTCCTTTTAACACAACCTATTTGTGCAATGTTCCACAGAGTTTTAAGAAACAACAAGAGATAAACTGAATATCAAGATCATGTGTGAATGTTAATCAATGAGTTGGATTATTATCTTTACTTATAAAATTACATTTAACTTAACTTGTTTATGCCTTCTCCATTATTCTGTGTACTGTCTTTATATGAATTCAGTTTTCCTGTTTTCATCAAGAGCCTTACTTTCCCACCGCGTGACAAACCAGATACCACTGTGGCTTTACCATAGGCTCAGTAACATCATATGTTCTTGAAAAACGTTCAAAACATGAGATTCATCAACTGATAAATCATAGATCAAATGTTGTATTATGTGGTGATTCTGAGGACTTTTTAGTCATATGTTTTAATTCGTTGTAGTAAGTAGAATGACAATAAATAGGTTTCAGAACTTCTACAGTTTATTCCCAAAAAAAAAAGGCTTAAGCACATTTTTACATACAAGTATGAATGATGACAATGGTAGTAACTAATGTATATTCAAAGTTTTAGAGGTAGACAAATTTTCTTCGGCTAAAGGCCCAACAATGCCGCAATCTGTGACCGTTCGATTAGCATCATTACCGATCTCAGACCATGCAAAAAACACTAGAAAAGACAAACGAAAATAAATTTGCTATAATATGAAAACTTAAAAAATCTCGACAAGCTTAAAAGTTTGTTGTATACTTAAATAATTATTATCATCTGAAAATATAGGAAGCCAACCTTGTTAAGTATGAAAAAAAAAAGTTTATTTATTTTTTTGTTCCATTACAAATTTTTTTTTTTTAATTATTTATGGGCTACCAATTAAAGATGTGGGACCCCCGAATAATACCGGCGCAATCTTTCGTCTTTTCTATATGGGCCCCCACAAGCGTGCCTACATATGGGCCCACTTAAAAACAAAAATCGTACTCGGGGAACATATGTCTAGAAATTAATAAATCGAGGAAAGTAAATACATACCAACAATGAAAAAAATAAAAAAATGGTGGAAAAATATACAATTAGAAAAGTATATGCAACAGTAAAGATGTAAAACATATGTTTCAAATGGACATTGTGATTATTATTCAGTCGATCACACGAAACGCAATACAATGAGTTTTTTTCCGTATGATCATGCTTGATTTAGTGTTAATTTAGGATGTTCCAGGCGTGTGTTTCTTCTAATCACTACAAACTCAGCACAAACCAATCGATAGTATTATTTTGCAAAGTGTAATTGACATTTGCGGTATCAAAGTCTTAATTTGATTAAAAATTTAATGGTATGTATATTTTTATGTTTTTATATTTAAAAAAAAAAAAATTAAATTAACAAGTAAATTTCCACACGTTTTAATAATTCATTTAAATAAAACAAATTCATTTAATAAACAGTTTAGCATTTTATTATTTTTCAATTTTGAGTTTTTTTGGTTTGGTTGACTAAACTATTGTTGATATATTGAATCAAAAGCAGAAATGTTTATCATTTTATTTCCTTATTTAAACTGTATCACAACGACCGTTCTGATTACACACGAGTCACGACCATACTTATTCTATAGTGATTACATCGCTTCAACTGTTGCAACCATTCCGAACAATTTCATCATCCCATCAAATCAAATCAGATCAAATAAAAATCATAAATTGAATAAATTGAAAATAAAGGTATGTAATAATGGAAGAAGGTAAACGTGAAAGGACGTGACACGACCCCACCATCGTGAAGAATGAAGAAAAAACCCAAAAGAGCATCTAAATGAATAACGGGTTGTTCACCAAATCAGAAGCTTTAATAGAATCAAGATTTAAACTAAGGGATTTAAAAATAAACAGAATTTCTCTTATAAGTCCAAAAAACAAAAAAAAAATCTTATATACATGACTTTTTGGTTCAAGTAGAGAGACAAAAAAAGAAGAAGTAGATATCTCATGACTCTTATTGTTGTTTGAAATTGAGGACAATGGTTTAACGAACTGTGAGATAACTATTGTAAATTTTGCTTGACCATAGATATGTTATACCTACTGTCTTATAGTTAATGCCCTTTTCAATAGTCTCGCAACTGTGTGATCTCAGATTATAATTTATAATGATCATCTACAATTTTCAACAGCCAAATCTAACTATTTGCGCATAGATAATCAATTCATTGAATTGCATGATTATGGATACATGTTAATTAGATTTCAAACCTCGTAGTTGGTGCAACAGCATTTTAATCACGGAGTGAACCATTATGCATATCCACAGGTACGTTTTAAAATTGCCGACAACTTTAACTATCCACGTATGATATTTTCTGATTCTAGTATATATTGACTGAGTCAAGTTATAAGATTATTTACTAAATTTGCTTAAAGCTGATCAGTAAGAAAAGAACATATAAAAACATGATGTGATATCATAACCTTTAGCCATTATTAGGTCCCCCATCAAACCAAACTCTTAACAAAAATTCAAACATCGATCATTGGATTAGTTACCAATTCTACATAGAAACATCTCTAATATGTATTATTGATTCACGGAACTAAGACATAATTATTTAACAAACAAGTTTAAACTTAGTTACAAACCGCCAGAATGAACATTTATTTATTAGTCATTTAAGCTGCACAATTACGGAATAACTAAAAATCCATAATTTAAAACTATATAATTAATTACAACACGCAAAACATCGTAGTATATGTACTCGATCATTTGATTAGTTACCAATCAAAATCATAATCTATATTGTTTAGATTTTAAGTTATAATTTGTGCCCACTCATATATATCACAAGGACCAAAAGACACTATCCAACAATTGTTCTTTTGCTTTATTTCTTTACCGTTGACTGTCTCGAGTACAAATTCTTCTTCATCTTCTAAACTCTCCACTGCTTTTTAACTTTAATTTTCCCAATTTTATTGTTTTATTTGAATTTACTTTCACTTTAGACACACAATCCACCAAGATAAATAGCTAGCCATATAAGTTTTTGTTATACAAAACACTCAGAAAATCAATCAAGACATAAAGATACAAAATGAGTGAGCTTCTCTACTCTCTCCCCACTTGGGATCTCCATAATCTTGGATCACTCTTCAAGCCTGACTTCAATCTTGGTACATACATACATACATATATATAATATCCTCAATCATTGTTTTGGTGATGTTGGCTTTGTTGCTGCTTCTTCTCTACCTTCATTGTAAACATCTTTTATTAATTCAAACAAGCTCTTTATTCAAAAAAATACACATATATGATATCTCTCTCTCTATATATAGAGAAACATATGTACGCATATGTAATATATATATATATATATATATATCTTTGTATCAACGTGCATGTATTTATTTACAAGTTAATCAGGATTCCTTCATAGAGAACTGTTTAATGTATAATGCAAAAAGTTTTTGACGTTAAATTATATAAAGAAAAATTATACTAAAGTGCGATGTGTGTTAATTGCAGATATTGCATGTGGATTCATGAATGAATCGTCGGAACAGATTTACCGGTCACCGGATATGGATTATACCGACGTCTCCACAGGTTACCTCGAAGACGCATTAATCGAGTCATGTGAGAGAAGCAAAAGAAGACGTCTCTTGTTCGACGATCCGGCAAAATCTCTTAACGATAGCTACTCTCAGGTTTGAGTTTATTAATTAATTTAATTATATTTGTCCAAATGATTCGTTGAATTATTTCCTCATGATACCTGCATGTTCTCTTCGATTATCATTTCCACATGATTTGGTAACAATAAATATAACTAATTAAATTTAATTATGTTGATCGTTGAAAATGCAGAACGATTGGGGCCTGCATGAGAGTTATAGCTGTTTGAATAGTCAGTTTGTCACTCCACATGTTAACACAGGTGAGACCTACTTTTATTCAATTCTTTCAAATATTTATTTATTTAGAATGTAAATGGTACAAACGTGAAAAATAGAACTTTTAACTAATTGTCGGATAAAAAATAGTTTTAAATTTAGCGGGATGAATTTTGTTTTTTATATAATTCGGATGACTTTGAATAGTTCTAAAATAATTGAAATAACAAGAACAAAATGCATTTTTAAATTCCGTAAAAACAATATTCAAAAGAAAATATTTCTATCTGGTCCAAGTGGAATACATTTTGTAAAGTTAGTTTGTTGGCTTTTTTAGCTAACACGTTGATTCTATTTGCACCCCTTACTTAAATTTAGTCTTATTTTAAAGATAACCTACTAAATTTATCTTTGGTTAATTATTGGTAATGTACAGACGAACGTAAGAGTGGAATAAGTAGTAGCTTTGAGGAGGCGATATCGACCATTTACGGGTCTCCCGACACTCCTGTTTCTTCCGACAATATCTATGTTCCAGAAAGATCTCCAACCGAACCATCTTCGTCTAATTGTGGTAATAAGAACAAAAGACTAATCACGAGAGTGGTCTATCCATTTGGATTGGTGAAACCAGGTGGTGGAGACGAAGATGTAACCCTAAATGACATAAATAAGAGGATTCTTATGCCACCGGCTCGGCCTGTTCGACATCCTGTAGGAGACTTTGCCTCTCGATCGTGCATCTCGACCAGTGGGCCAGGCCTCTCCGGCAAATCCGTGATGGCTTTGACTAGGATCCAAACACAAGGGAGGGGTACAATTACCATAATCCGAACTAAGGGGTAAATTATGTAATATTGATAATTATTAGCAAAGGGTTCAATATGTGTAATAATATAATCGAGGAAGTTTTAGAAAGCCAAAGTCATCATTGGCGATGAGAGAAACTTTCAACTTTTGAAAATTGTTGTACAATATTCAAAAGCTTACCTTTTACATCAACATTCTAAAATACATAATTTACAATTCATAGAACATATTATTTTGTTTCTTTTTTAGAATAATCAAGAATTTATTATTCAAATACATTTTTTTGTTTTAATATTCGAATAAAAAAAATCTAAGATATATTAGATATTTTAAAAATATGAATTGCAGTAGTTTGAACACACTTGTGCCTACAAAATAGCTTAATTCAATTATTAGACTTAAAATACCGGCAACTTGAACCACAACTTGAAGTGTTTTTAATTACAAGAATCATTCAAGGGCATTGATAAAAAATTGTATAGATATAGAAATGTCCCTCAAAGACACATAATTGTAGATAAAAAAATTTAATACTGTCTTATTATATAAAAAAATGATAGCTGATACATAGATATAAAATTTATATATTATTACAATATTTTGTAATATATATTAACACCAAATCATTACATAATTCTTAGAGTTTAGTTTATAAAACACAAAATGAAATACACATACAAATATATTGGTTAATTTTAGGAAAATGTTAGAACACATTACTTTTTTCATTTAAATATTCATCCTAGCGGTTTCCCACATTCTCTTTTAAACCAAATTTCATCAATTTTGGCAACCCACATATATGTCTGATTACATCGCTTACTTTTTATATGATATGCTTCAAGTTTATGAAAGAAAAAATTACCATTAGGCATGTGATTAATATCACAATTCTGCTTTAACCAATATATTTGTATGTGTATTTTGTTTTGTGTTTTATAAACTAAACTCTAAGAGTGATGTAATGATTTGGTGTTAATATATATTACAAAATATTGTAATAATATATAAATTATATATCTATGTATCATCTATCATTTTTCTATATAATAAGACAATGTTAATTTCTTTTTATCTACAATTATGTGTCTTTGAGGGACATTTCTATATCTATACAATTTTTTATCAACGCCCTCGAATGATTCTTGTAGTTAAAAACACTTCAAGTGCTGGTTCAAGTTGCCGGCATCTTAAGTTTAATAAATGAATTAAGCCATTTTGTAGGCATAAGTGTGTTCACACTACCCCAATTCATATTTTTTAAATATCTAACATATCTAAGAGTTTTTTTTAATACAAATTCTAATATTAAAACAGAACAAAATGTATTTGAAAAAACAAATTCTTGATTATTCTAAAAAAACAAAATAAAAGTTTATCAAAAGTTTTTTAGTATGTTCTATGAATTGTAAATTATGTATTTTAGGGGAGGTAAATTTTGAAAATTGTTGTACAATACCCAGTGGATTTTTCTAAAGAGAATAATTATGTTTTTTTTTAGCAAAAGAGAATAATTATGTTATCTTCTATTTTGCATTTTGAGCTTTTTACTCTTTATCAAAGAAAATTTGATTAGCAAAGCATTTTGTTATTCAAACGAGGTCGCTTTAAGGTAATACACATATCCAATAACAGCAGCTAATTATAAGAATTAATTGTCGCTTTTCCATCAACGAATACGCAAAATAAATCTGAAAAAGAGGAGGATTCATATCGTAGAAGAAGGAAGATTCGGAGAAGGTACTAGTACCGTTCCTAAAAATTATTTCTAAAAATTGAAGAAAAAAAGCGAAATAGAAAGATTATAGGAAGACAAAGAAAATGAAAAATGTTTGTTAAAAAAAAAAGACAAATATAAAATTTGCAGGTATGTTTGCTTGATCCGCAAATCCGAAACAGGTAACCGAGTACTCATTCGACTCTGAAACATAGCAGTTAAGTTTTACAAAGCCCAATTATGAAAAAAGACAATTTTATATTTTTTAAATTTAATTATTATTTTTAAGTCTGTCTCAAAATATAAATGAAACTTTTGTTATAACAAAAAGTTTAATTAAAATTATTTCATATTTTACTACTAAATTTAAAGCTTTATAATTCAACATTGGCTTTGAGTTTCATATATTACAAAAAATTAAAATATTTAAGATGAATTTAAATATTATATTTAGATAATTATATTTTTAGAATTGTTTATACCTGCAAATGCGTGCGGGTCAATCTCCTAGTAAAGAATACAAAGAAACCAATAGATAAAGCAAAAGGAAGAAATGTAATTTTAGAAATTAGAAATGAAAGAAAAATAAAAGGGTAAAAACGTAAAAAGAAAAGGAAACGTTTAAAACCGTTCGTTATTTTTGTTCGTCAATAATTTGGTTTGATTCATACAATCCTCAATTTGTTGTATATGATATTCTATCCTGTAATCCACTGTATGCACAAAAGTGCAAATGCGCAATACTGTAAGAGAAGAAGAAAGCAACAAACAAACAAAAAAACAGACATTAATAGCAAAGATATCAGAATGTTAAAGTCGAATAAGGTTAGTAGTGAGTGTTGAAATAAAGTTCATTAGCGTTGACACAAAATATATAAAAGCTCATCTCGTTCAGGCCCAATATATATGGCAATATAATTATCATCTTAAGATCACCGCCGTTGTTTGATGTATTAACGAAAATAAACCGCGAGGATTAAAAGCTCAGGTGTATAATGACGTCGTGCTTATGTTGTGTTACGTATGTCGGCATGAGCTGTACGGCCAAAATTAAATAATGAAGAGAAGTGGTAAGTAGTTAGGCAGGCGACTATACGTGTATGCCTATGGCCTAAGGTAGGTGCATGCATGTGGCTGATCGTGGATCTAATTAAAATCAATGATGTATTTTCTTCGTTTTAAAATTTTAATTTTATACTAGCTTGAAAATATTACAAATGACTAAATCTATTAGCTCCCTTATTAAGAGATTTACAAAATAAAATTCAAAGAAATATGAAGAAGAAGACCATTCTACACGGTGTAGTCGATATTTTTCAGAATATAAATATTAAATTAATCCAACCAAGAAGCCATGTTTACAATAAATACATAAGCGTTTGAAATATTAAAAAAAAAAAAAAAAAAAAAAAAACTAGCTACTTTACAACTAGACTAAGATCATCGGAATGAGAACCAGAGTTCCATTCCTTTTGCATATCGGTGTAGTCGATATTAGGTTTTGATAGAGATGATTATGGATGAAATCATAGATTACAGTATTTGTCAAAGGAGCTTTGCAATTTCTTGTTTGTAAACAATTCAAGACGAGATCGAGGAATTGTTTTTTTGTCGCTGATACGTACTCTACGAATAATATACTGTTATTTATTTAATTTGTTTTTGCGTTTTAATAATTGACTCTACCGGTTTTTAAATGCCACAAGCAACAGAGCTTTTGACCGGGTCCAATTTTTTTTTTTTTTTTTTTTTGACAACAACTTATGAAATAAGAAAATTGATCGTAGCCAAAGAAAGAACAAAAGAGAGTAGAATGTTATACAAAAATAAAAAGAAAACATTAATAAACGAATAAAATAAGAATTCTGTCTTCAAATTTGCAGATATATTTTTACCAGGAAAAAAATGCGTGAAAAAATAACCCGGAAGAAGATTTTGTACCTATGGATTTGTTCTAACTACTTTGGAATGATGTTGACAACGATGTTGTTTTGCCTTTATTCTTTTTTTTTGCTTTTGCACAGGAATTAGTAAGTGCACAAGAATTAGCAAGGCTGTATAACATTTTACATTTATTATGTTACAACACAGTACATTAATGCTTCATAGATCGTTCTTGAAAACGAGGTTACTCGGAGAATCAACTCTCACGACGAGTCCTTCTTCATCTTCATCATCGCTTGAGTCTACTACCATCGTTTTCCGCCTTGTGCTGCTTTCTGCTTTCACAGGAAGTTGCGACACGAATCTTTGGGTTTCAAGCTGCTTCGTGCTCACAATTGAACCTTCTGATTTAGCCGAAACGAGACCTTGACCTGAGTTTAATGGAAGTTTCTTGTACGATAAGTTATCTCTTGGCTTTCCTTCAAAACTTGCACTCCTTCTATACAGATTAACCTAGGTAAATTATCAAAAAGATGAAAAGCTTCAGATTAGTCGAGAACGTTCATCGATAATAATAAAACTGTTAATAAAATCTTCTTTTTTTTTGGTTTACCATGCTGCCGAAAATGCTAATTTGCATTGCTCGTTCAGATAAGCTTAACGTCTTTCTAACCATCTCTTGTTGTTGTTTGGCTATGTAAATACTTTCAGGCCAGCTCATGAGCCCCCTGTGTTCTTTACTGAATGATCTCTGGAGCTGATCAGAGCTTGAGACACGTGTTGGTGTTAACGAAGATGGTCTTCGATGTAGAGTCGTCCTATCAGCTCCAAATGCTCCAATGCTGAAGATGATCGCTCTTGCTCTTGTCTCCACACTGTACTGTATTGCTTGCCGTGAGAAACTCGCTCTCATGATACCTGTGTGATCAAGAAACCAAAACACATGCAGTTTCAATTTTCAGAGGTTTTTTTATATTCTTCTTTGTACTGTGCGATTAAAATTACCTGATGAAGATTCTGATGGATTACGGAAGCTTTGTTCCCCGTTGGAAGGCAACAGTGCAGCAGGAGCTGCTATAAGCTCTTCTTGGATACCAACTGGTTTTATGAATCCTTCTAATAGCAAACCAATGCTGTTGTAATTGATTTCGATTGATTCTCCAGATACATACGTTGTCAGTTTCGAGCTTTCAGCGGAAACAAGGGCTCGTAGTTCTTGCATTGCCACTTTTTCAAATGTCTGAGGACGCAAGAGTTTGACAAGAACCAAGGCACTTTCCTATAAAAGGAAAAATAAAAAACGAAAGAAGTCCGATGCAATTATATACAATGAAGAGATGATGAGTTTCTCTGTAATGGGTTCCAAAAGAGACGTACCTTCCAAAGGAAATCTTCGATGGCGGAATCTGTTTGTAGAAAAGATAGTATTCTGTCGCTATTGATGAAAAAGCAAAGAACGACAGAATCTGTGATCATGTCGCACATATATGGCTTCCCAGTGAGGACTTCATAGAGTCCCAATGTACTACCATGAGAAAATGTTGGATGCAGCGAGTGATTGTTGCTTAAGCTTTTGCTTTTCCACTGTATGTTATTATCATTATAACATTCAGTGAATAAAATGCTATGGATCATTAGATATTATGACTTCAAAGTAAAACATAGTTTTTGGGGTTACCTTAACAATGCCATCACAAATAAGCCAGACTCCAGTTGGCTTTGAGCCTTCTTTATAAAGCGTGACACCACGCAGCTTCATTGTTTCTTTTTTCGAGTGTTTTAGAGCTTCACATATTGCAGCGGGGAGAGCACCAGATAGCGGATGTGAGTTGATCATGTCGCTTAATTTTGGAAGTTTTATCATTGGAGGTTGTCTCAAAAGCTTCTTCAAGCCAGTCTGCACGGAGAGAGAGGGAGATAACATTAGACAAAAGAGAGAGAGAGAGGACCATTTGTTTGAAGGAATCGGATTCTTTAATTTGGTACCTGGAGAGCATCATGAAGATGAGCGATTTCTTTTTCCTCTAACAAGCCAATCTTCTCAAGGTTTTGAATGTAATCGAGTAAATGATTCAGCACTGCATGTGCTACTTGTTTTGTTTTCACAACACGAAGAACCTAATAACCAACCAAATTGATCAAAAAGATTATATGTGATGATTCATTGCGAGAAAAGATAAATCACCCAAAAGAAGTGACATGACTCTCAACCTGAGGAAGTGAAGATCGGACTTTTTCCAAGAATTCTTTCGCTCCTTCTCCTTCCACTTTACTTTCATTGATGACAGTTGAACCAATACTACTCTCCCCTGTATAGAGAAGACAGATAACTCAGAGACCAAAGTGGAGTACTTGCAAACAGAAAATCTGACCAATCAACAAAGATGGTCCAATCATACAAACTGTGAGTTATACATACCTATAAAATCAAACAGTTGCTGCCGTGCAATTGTATGTGCGCGAAGAAATGCAGCGGAAATGTAGCAAGCAGATTCCAGTCTTTCAACAGCAAAGTATGTGACCAACTTGCGTGGGATAATTTTAGAATGAAGAAAGTTGTAGTAGCTCGGGAACTTAACATGCGGTTTTAGACCTCTCCAGTCACATAAAGGCTCTGTAGAAACCCGATCCAACGCCTCATCCACTGATTGCATCAAAATATTAGCACTAGTTTCAGATATTCTTCCCTCATCAAGCATCTCCCAGTAAGCTGCTTGAACACCTGGTTGCATGCAAAAGACTCGAACTAAGGATCAATAATCTACCCAATAAAATAGTATAATAATAGGTAATAAGAGACGAGGACAATTACCATTTAAAAACCGTATACGTATGTCCTTTAAACTCGTATGGTCAAGACTTCCAGTCCTAGAACCACTATGAGGATGAATCTGTTCCCCTTCTGAATCTTTCAAGCTTAAAATATAGTTTTCAACTGTAGGCCAATCAGCAGGTCCTAACTCCTCATCGTCACCTAGTTCTTCAAACGCTTGCAGGGCCTTATTCAGCATTTCAAACTTTGTATACTCCAATATTCGTTTCTGTCAAACAAGAAAAGAGCAAAATCTCAGCATTTCGAGATAAGAGTCGCATACATACACACCTAACTAAGACCGCTCAAGGGCTCAAATGCCAGGCAGACACAGGCATTAACCACAGAGTTTCCTCAATGACTGTAACATGAATTTGCATACTAAAAGCTGGAAATGAAGTATGTGAAAAGATTTTGACCTTTGTGTCTGATAAACCGTCCATGCGAAGAAGGCGTAGAACAAATTGGGTAGTGGATCCATTGACTATCAGAGTTAGGAACACAATTCCACCGGTGAAGAAAATAAACTGCAAAACAACTGAGAATATCAAGAGACCGAGATGATACTCTTCTATAATTCATCTAGGATGTCGGTTACACCTTGCAAACTATTTCCGGAACTTACCAATGTTCCCGTCTCTGTGCTGAGAAATGAATTTCCACTTGATTGCTGAATCAAATGATTGAGAATAAATATGTGCATACATTCAGGAGAGAGGAGAACAAGATTGTCAATGTTCTTGAAAACTAACCTTCACAGATAAAGAAAGTGAGAGCGCTACTGCGCCCCTTAAACCAGACCATACAAGTATAATGCCTTCTTTCCAATCCAAGCCATAGCCCACACGACAGAGCAATGGATATAGAACTCCAACAACAACACAACGTGATAGTTGGACGTAAAAATATAGTAGAAAAAGAAATCCCCATGAATTCCCTGTAAAAAAACATGGGTCGTCGAGAGTTTTCTTAAATCCTTAATATTAAGAAACGTAAGGTTCATGATATTGTGTGATTTATGCAGGTATGGTTCCAGAGGAAAGTGATATATCGTTATTTCAGTCCTGGCACAGTGACAATTTAGACAGAAACTATGCTCATATAATCTGAACAGAGTTCCAACATTTGGCTAGAAAAAATATACTGCAAACTTTCAACAAGAAATGGCACCTTGGTATGCAATCTTATCGCTGTCGAGAATGCCTTCAGCAATGACAACACCACTACAAAAACAAAATGAGAAGAAACTTAAAAACTGTAGCACCGGCTAAAGAGTAGACTGCAGTAACATAGCTTTTTGCTACCCATGAACTTATTTCTTAGGGTTGACATGAGCTTTACCTGAGGATAAAAATCAAAGTATTTGCAATATATGCCACCATTTCCCTGCACAGGTTACCAGTAAAATCTGTCTTACACCTTTTCCATAGAATTAAGCTATACAGAACAATTCCAATTCCACAAGTTTTCGAAATACCAGAAGTGATGCAAACTCTTTTGACTGTCGCCTTTAAATGCTGTCCTTGCAAATGCAGCATAAAACCTGTTACAGTTATTATATAACAAGTGGCTTCTTACATGATAACAAAAGAAAGGAAAAAATGAGATAACTGAAACTTACATGCCCAAAGTCATTACCGTCAAAACACCAGAAGCCCCAGCCCACTCTTGAGCCTGTCACACATTAGTTAACTCTCATTTGTACTAACAAAATAAGATCTTGGCACAAGATTTTAAGGTCTACAGAAAGACGTACAGTGTAATATGCGAAGTAGCTCACAGCAATCGTAAGAGTAATCTCTATTACTGAGTCATTAAATATGAACTTGAGCCAAAGAACCGAGGCAATGCCAAAAGCCAGACCGATACCTACACTAAACAGACAGAATCATACATTGTAAATTTATGATGCATACAACTAGATATCATTAAAAGAGGAAAAGATCAAGACATACGCTCCAAGTGCGACTCTAAGCAGAAATTTGATTATAGAAGCCCAGTCATAACTATTCCCCATAACCATCTTTAAGAATAACTGGAAAACCACAATTGCCGTCCTGAAATTTTTAATAAGATCATTTTAAAGTTGTGACCATAAATGTCATAAATTAACCAGACTGTGACAGAATATTAGCAAACGTTGTCATGGTTACCCATCATTCATCAGGGACTCCCCTTCGATTACAGTGCTTAGCTTCTTACTAGCACCAAGCTCCTTTAGCAAAGCAACAACAGCAACAGGATCTGTAGCACTTAAAAGTCCCCCAAGCAACAGCGACGTTTTCCAGTCCCAGTCATACGGAAAAGTGAGCTGCAAATAGCATTATAGCATACTTTCATTACCTTATAATTAATTAGTCTTTGTGTGTTTGTCAACGGCTACTTAACGCTAGACTACCACTAACCTTGACAAGCGATGCAAGACAAAATGTTGAAATGAGAACTCCAGGCCCAGCAAGGAGCACCATTTGTCCCAGACACCTCTAAGGGATCATGCAAATAATCCCATCACAAGAACCAAAGCATTTAGCATCTAATCTATTGCTTAGAGCCCGAGCAGCTCTCAGTTACAGAAATTCTTGAAAAGCAAACCTTGATCTGGTGAACTTCCATTGAAAACGAACTTTCAAAAAGAAGAGCCGGAAGAAAAACGGCCAAAAGAAGTTCTGGATCGATGTTATTCCCTACACAACAATAACATCGAGATTGTTGATTGATTCCCAAATCACCCAGCCAGAATCTTGCTATATCTGTTTAGAACTAAGAGCTTACAGATACGAATTCCATGGCCGACCTTCCCAAGGTGGTGATGGGTTCCAAATTCTGAAACATTCAAAACAACTGTTTAGAAACTGAGCAGGAACAGTTCCAGTCATCAGCAGTCAATGAAATTTCCTTTTCTTCCAAGCAAATTCGAATTAAACTGCTGAAATTGAAATCAAACAAGTATCAATACGTTGAATTCCACGGCTATCACGGAGAAAATCGCTAAAAGCAAATGAAAGCAAAAAAGAAAAGTTTCAAGGATGAGAAGGATCAAATTTCATGGAAATTCAGAGAATTGGAAGGAATCAACGAAGTCGAACCGAGAGATCCAAGAGCAATCCCGATAACGAGGAGAGCGACGGTGTAGGGAACCCTAGTCCCGCGAAGCAAATGCCTAGAAGCTATACCGAGCACCAGAGACATCCCGACGAAGAGAACGGCGTCGACAGGGCTAGATTCTCCTTTGGAAGAAGATGAAGAAGAATCGGTCTCCTCCTTTAGAAGTTTATACGGCATCGTCGCGTCGATTACATTCGCCATTTTCTTCGAATACCGAAGAAATAACAACGAAGGAGGTGAAGACTGAAGAAGAAGAAGAACGGTAAAGTAAAGGGTCCTTCTTCAGTGTGTAAAATCTGAAACTTTTTCTTTTGATTAAGAAAGCTGAAACTTATATGGAGTATATATGCATTTGAGGCATTTGATTGATCATGTGAGTTTTATTTTCTGAGACCCCTTGATTGTGTGATTAATGGTACTGCGTTTGATAATTTAAAATTATTAAAAATAACTATTTTGTATATAAAATCTCCAACAGCCAACACATGATCACGTTTTCTGCAATATTATGTCACGATTCACGAATTTCATCCGACCAACTCTTTTTTTTTTTAATCAGGAGTCGGCAAATCTTATATTTGTGGTTGAAGGCTAAGTTTTGTATATATTTATTTTTGACCGGATGTTTTGACTGTTTGGATTTTATGTTGAAGCTCATTTTTGAAGTGAATGTGGTACTCCTATGGTGAAAAACTGAAAAATGGAATAAGCACGCAACTATTTTTATGAAGAAGTGTTTTATGTAAAAAAATGATTAGACCTGAGATTATTTCTAAGCTTGTGCCAGACAGTAATAAGATTCCAAACACTGATTTTGGGCCCCAAACGGCTAAAAGATAGTAGTATAAGTTTAGGTTTCTGTAGATATTTTTTATTCTTTATCCTGACAAGACTTTTGCTCATTTATATCAACCTTTGTTTTTTCTTTTCTTCTTGTTTACGTAATCGCAAATGAAAAAGTTTACCAAATACATTTATTGACCAATCATAATTAGGACTAAGGTGTGGACTCTGGAATTTAATTTGCATAGCCTATGTTTTGAATCTATCAGATTCTCAAATTTTACTCGGAGTGTAATCGCATTATTTAGTTTTTTTCTGGGGGATTCAATTTCGAAATCATTTGTTTAACTCAAATCTTGTGGTAAGAAAATAAGTCAACGTGAATCTTTTTAAAAAAAATGATTATCACTTTGATTATGAATTAATCGGTGACAAGAAGTCTTTATCTCTTTGGTCATAATAATTGGTGACAAATTGTAATAAATTGATACTGAAATCTAGTAAGTCAAAATTCAGATCAGATCGAATTTGTATATTAAGGTATTAAGTAGCTATCAAGTGACACCCTTTATTAAATTAACAATATTCTTCTTTTATAACAGTTTAAAATTAGAATAAGTCAAATGGATCCAATCAAGTATGTCCAAAACACATTACGCATCTACAACTCGTCATTTTCTGGTACAGTTATACTAAAGTAAAGCATATCACATACAGAAGATTACAAAATATATGCAGTACGTAGTTTTATATATTGCTAGTCTTGGACCGCGTAACGAAAACTAGTACAAAAAAAATGTCTAAATATATATCACCATTTTAATTGTTATTTAAATTAAAAAGAAAACTAGATGTTGGACCTGTGCATCTGTACAAGTATATGATATTTGAAGTAAATTTTATAAATGTTTAAATTATGTAGTATAAGAAGATTTATTATATATTATATTATAAAATAGTCTGTTTTCTAGTACATATGTATCATAACTTTATTTCGAGAGAATGGATAGTCCGTTTTTCATATGTGTATAGAAAAGCTAATTGTCTTTTTTTCTAACAAAAAAACTAATTGTCTTGCTCATGGATTATCTAACTCTGCTTTTTCTCTTCCTCTAGGTGTCCAGTTTTTAGATTCGGTTCCACCTAGTTTAGTTTCGATTTTCAGTTACGATATGCTCGGTTCTGCGCGAAGTTTGTGTGTAGCTGATTTTTATGTTTTAAATAAAATCAGGAGACAATGTCTCCCCACCCCTCCTACCAAAAAAAACTATAGTTATATTAATAATATATTATTTATTTATGTGTTATGAGGATTAAAATTAAATTTGTAAATACAAAAATATAAAATTAAAAATAAGATAATATAAGTTACATGCAACTAATTCAATATTGTAGACACACGAGTTGTTGTTGTAAAATATGATAATATGTTATTGGTTTTATACGAAATTCATGTTTTTTAATATTGTATTTAGTTTTTTTTCTTCTCCTTCTCTCTTCCTATTCTTTCTTCTTCATTTCTATTATATGTTTCTTGTTTTATGTTTTTCTTCTCTTCTTTTTTCTATTATATGTTTTTTTTTTATGATTTTCTTTTTCTTTTTCTCTTTTCTTCTCTTTCTGTTTCTCCCGCTTCTTTTTCATCTTTTCTTCTTCTCTCCCTTCATTTATTTTTGTTTTTCTCCTTCTCCTTTTTATCCTTTGTTTTTTTTTTCTCCGTTTTTCTCCTTCTTCTTTTTTTGGATTACCACGAAGGTCTGGGCCGAAGTCTGCAATCTGTGCAGACTCGAAACCATATCATGTAATATTAGTTTAATCCTAAGCGTTACTCGATCATGTGACCTCTAAACTGTACCTAGATCCTTTACCAGTCAAGTTAACGACTCTTGTTTACTCCTTCTTCTTCTTCTTCTTCTCTTCCTCCTTTATGTCTTCTTCTTCTTCATCCATTCTCTTTCTTCTCCGTTCTATTTTTCCATTTTTTCATCTTCTCTATTGGTCTTATTCGTCATCACTTCTCCTTCTTCTCATTCGTTTTTCTTCTTTTCCATTCCTTCTTATTATCCTTTCTTTTCCTTCTTTTTCTTTATCACTTATTCTCCTTCTTCTCATGTTCTTCTATTTTTTTCTCTCTTTCTTCTTATCTGTTGTTATTCTTTTTCATCTACTCTTTTTCTCATCCATCCCTTCTCTTTATTCTCCTCCTTCTTCTTCTCCTTCTTATTTGTTCTTTTTCTTCTTTGTCAAACAAAAAATGATAAATTTAAAACTAAAAAGATTAAAAATAACAATCATATACACAATTTCTTAGTTTTTTCAGTAATGTGTTTTTTCGTTTTTGCATATAATGTGTTTTTTCGTTTTTGCAGTAAAATGTGATTTCTTAGTTCTCGCGGAAAACACAATTTCTCAGGAGATAATGCAATTTTTGGTTTTCGCGGGAAATTATAGTTTATCAGTTTTGGTAGAAAGACCTGATTTTTGGTTTAATGATTTTTTATTATTTTTTCGCGGGAATTGACGATTTTTCGGTTTTCATGGGAAAATAATTTTTTTGGTCTTGGTGAAAAAACTTGATTTCTCTGTTTTGACGAAAAAAATACAGGTTCTCGCAGGAAAATGTGATTTTTTTGTTTTTGCGGAAAAATGCAATTTCTCTGTTTTGGTGTGAAAATGAAATTTCAAGTTTGACGAGAAAATGAATGTTTTTGGTTTTTGCGAGAATAGGTGAAATGAAATTTTTTTGTTTTGTCGGAAAGTGCGATTTCTTAGTTTTTAAAAAAAATAGTAATTTGCTTTATATAATTTCAAAGGAGGATCAATTGGTAATTTAGTAGAGATAACAAATTACATTTGCCATTAGCATAAAGGTACATAAAATGTATTTTTATTCTTACATATACATTTATAGATAATTAGCTAAACAAATTTGATAGTAGATTATAATAATGAAAAATAAAAATATTTAAGGATATATAATGTTTATTCAGATTTAAAACATATAAATACATAACTTAAGCTAATAAAAAAATAAATACAATACTCATTTATATTATAAAAATAATTTTATTATATTAAAAATATATACAAAATCTAAAAATATATCCCGCAGCATAGCGCGGATATATATCTAGTGAAAATCTAAAGAGAATGTTAAAATACAATGGTATTTTATGTAATATAATACATAAAATGTGTTTAAACATTGAAGTGAATCTGAATTAATAGTATTGATTAGACATACAATATTTAGAGTACTAAGCTGTTGCTTATCTTGCTTATGCCATGGTCCAACGAGATAAATTTGAGGATTGCTACAGCAGTTTCGTAGAAATTAGAAACATTGACAACCTTTATTATCGCCGTGAAGCTCCATGCATGAAGGCAAGACTTTCTCGTGTTGCTCCAGAATTCGTTTATAATATATATTTTCTTTTGCCATCCTCAATTAACTAAAGTGCTTTTTCTTTTTCTTTGATGTTACTACCAATATCATAACTATGGCCGTAATCATGGCAACACTTTATATGTTATATACTAGGTGGTTGCCCGCACATATGTGCAGATATAATTTTTTTTATATACATAGTTAATTGTAATATTTAAATATTGATTAGTTTTTTTAAACATTGGTATGTTTGTATATATATTGTTTTAATATTTCACAAACTTCTTTCTGAACCAATGTATTTTAAAAACTTTATTTTTATAATGCTTACAATAATATATAATCACAAATATAAAAGTTATGTTAAATAATAATTAAATTTTTATAATATTTTTTGAATATTTTTTATAATATGCTTTAATTCTCCTTACACAATCTACAATATGTTTTTTGCGTCTTACATAATATGAATTTGCAAATATATATAATATATTTTAAGTATATATTTTTCTTGATTTATTGCAAATTAAACTGAAATAGTTTTTACCATTTTTACTTATTCTTAAGAGCGGATAGATGGTTGGCACGCATGTGCAGACATACCAACCACTTCCCTACACTTAGAATAGATAAATATTTTTAAAAAAATATAAATTGTATAATAATTAAAATAAAAGTTAGTCTCTAATCAATCTTAACAAAATACATGCACAGAAAAGTTTGTATGTGACTTCAACTAATGTACAATTAATATTTATGTCTGTACGCGTATTTATAAAAAAATTGAAATATGGTTCTTAGGTGTTAAAAAAGTTTTTAAGTGACTTTGTAAAACAAAGTGCGAGAGATTTATTTTTTCATACTTATATTTTTATTTCTAATTCATATTATTTTATCTTATTATAATTTATTCTTTCATTCGGTTATTTTTTATTTTATTTATGTTCTCAGAATTTTGATATACAATAAAAATAAATTTATGTATATATATATATACATATCATATAAAAAAAATTATTTAAAATATGATAAGAGATAAGATGAGATAGTAACATAAGTTATGTACATTTTAGAAAACAACAATAAAAAGATGATAAAAGTTATAGAAAATATATGATCTTATTAATATTATAAAATAATAATTAGTATATATTTTATTCATTTAGTAAATATTGGTTTGAAAAGAAAAATTATTTAAAATTGCGTTTTTAAAAAAAAATCAATAAAAGTTGATTATTTTTATTATTTTTAACATTTTATTCTTTAAATTATTTTATCATGATTGTATTTTATTTAAAATTGTATTATTCAATAATTTGTTTATTTAAAACTTGTTTAGATGTTATGAATATATTTTATAAATTAATAACTTTCCGAAATAAAAATATATTATAATTCAAGTATTATTAATAAATAGAATTTTTATTATTCTATTGGATAATTTAGTATTATTTTTTCGTTTTATATGAAATTATAATATATATATATATTGTTGAAAAAAATTTGTAATTATATTTTATGAAATTATGAATATATGTACAAAATTGAAATTATAATAACTTTTATTTTATGTTAATTTAAATTTGTTAATTTTAGTGTTATAAATATAATCTAGTTTATTTATGTTTTAATTCCACAATTTCTATAATTTTAATTCAACCAATCAAAACATTTCGTTTATTTTAGGATGTTTGACATGTCACATTTACATGTCATCAATTAAAAGCACTAACTTTAGCTCTAATGTTGACAAATCAGCTATTTTCAATAATGTTACTTCTCAAATAATATGTAGTGGATTGGATTTATCTGGTGACATAAGATTATCTGTGTTGTTAGGTTTTTACTAAATTTTTTAAAAATCAAAAAATAAGAAATATTATTATTTTATTGAAAGAGGTTTTTTTTAAAAAGACTAAAAAATATATTATGATTTATTATTTATTATTATTTTATTATTGATAAAAGACTATGTGAGAAACTTGCAATGCAAATGTTCTAAACCATTATGAATTTTTGAAAAGAAAGAGTGATAAATCATATCAAAATAGTTAATATGGTAAGAAAAAATAGCTATAAAAAACTAAAAATACTACTTTTAATACTAGTAATTATTATTTTGTGATTAGTAATTATTAAACTAATAGATCTTGTACTGGTTGCTGGTGCCATACAAAGTTATGCTTGATGTAGAGAAGAAAAAAAAAAGAGAAAATTGAGAAAGGTGAACAAGCAGAACGTAACAAGCTGAACATATCTTTGCTAAGGAGAATGTAAGAAAGGAAAAGACAGCTTGAGAAAGCTGAACGTTAAAAAAAGACAATGAATGAAAGCTATTGGTATCCCAAAGATTGGCTGTTGTTTGTGTGGAAATCATCCTCTTATTTGGAAAGTATAAATTATTATTGTTTCTTCGAGCTAAAATTCGTGATGTCTTCTAAAAAACCTGTCCCGAGTCATCATGTATGGACATAATTTTGTTCTTTGTGAATCGTGAATTTGCACAAGCTTGGTAAAAAAAAAAAAAAAATTACTCATCGAAAACATTTGTCGAACAAGAAAAAGAAAGATACAGTACGCGAGTCTCCAAAACCCATCAAGGTCCAAATGATTAAAAATACGATAATTTCTTAGGCTTTTTAGAGAGGTGATTAAGCCTGGGCCTTTAGTAGATTCATATTCAATCGAATAATCCTGTTAGCTATTTATTTATGTACCCATCTCTATTTTCTTTATAAACATAGATAAATAATTTAGAAAACAATAAGAAAAAGTATTTAAAAGTGAGCAGATTTTAATATTCACTCTATCCTATTACTGTATATAATTTTTTTATTTAGCTAAAAGCGCAGAAATTAGAAATTAATTTTTGAAAACAAAACATTATTCAATTATTAGTTAAAAACATAATTCAGCTAGTTACAAATTAATCTGCAAAATTTAAAGAGTCAGAACTATTGAATAACATTAAAAATTTTATAAAAATTTTTCAAAACTTCATATAATTAAAACAATTTTTTTCAAAAATATATAATATTATAGGACAGAAGAAGTATTTTATCAGCTCCGCCTCTGAGGCATGGCGAGAGGGGCAATGGCCATGGATCCAAAAATTTAAGGGCCCAATTTTTTTTTTTATATTGAAAACTTTGTTATAATGTGTTTTAACACATTAAAGAAAAATAGAACTAATTTATAGTACATAATAAGGCCCACAATCTATTTAATAAAAAATGGATTATGATCTAAAAGAAATTATACCTAAAATTTAAGGGCCCAATTGTTTTCTATATTATACAATTTGTTAAAAATATATTCTTGAAGACAATTATGAATATATAATTAATTTTTAGTACATAAAAAGGCTCATGATTTATTCAATTATTAATAAGACGTCATAACCTACTTATACAAAAAGGATTATACTTTAACTGTTTTCTTTGTTAACAAGACAACAACCATCTCAATTATTTAAAATTACAAAGAATTTTAAGATCAGATCAATGTTTCAACAAAGGTTGAATGGTCTTTTACTTTTATGCATTAAAAAAGAACTTTTAAAAACTATAAATTTTGAAACAATTATCAATAATTTTGCATCAATAAAGTTAGAAAAAGATATATATGATTTTTATCTTTCTAAAAAGAATTAATATTCTTTTGTGTTTTTATGTTTGATGATTTTTTTATGCAAATTACAGAAATGATGCATTTAAATGAAGTATTATGTCAAAAAATTATTATACAAACTAGTTATGTATTTTTTTAACAAACTAGCAACTTATTTTATATTTTAAAAAGTCAAAAAATTATAGTTTGGTTTATTTTGATTAATATAGTTACTTTATTAATATAATATAAAAGATCCATATTTTGTTTTTTGCCCAAAGCTTTTGAAATTGCTAAGACGGGGCTGTATTTTATATGACATCTAAAAAAGTATAATTAGCGAGACACTGTTGATTTCCTTTTTTTGTTATTTAGGAGGTGTATTGAAACTAAAATTTTAGAGAATTTGAGAAGATTTGAGTTTTAATGAAATTTTAGATGATTTTATGTGGATTAGAGAAGTTGATATGATTTGATATTAAAATTATATGAAATCCTACCTAAAACAATGAGATTTAGTTTTCTATATTTTTAACCAACAAACTCCACCAAATCATTTAAAACTATTCAATATTTTGTAAAATCCACTATTTAAAATATTTCCAATAACAGTAGATTTGATTTGGTTTTTACAAATTCTTGATTGAATAACATGGATGTTGAAGTGATTTTAATTTGTTTTATATAAATTTCATGTTCAATAACATGGACTTTGGTGAGACATTTAGAAATCATTAGTTGAATAATATAGAATTTTTAAATAACCACAAAGTCTTCTAAAATTTCTGTTTCAATACACCCCTTTAGTTACACAAGAATGGATTGACAAAAAATAAAATAATATAATTACACAAGAATAGAAAATCAACCTACCAATGGAAAACTACTCTTTAAAAATTATAACGACATTGCAACGAGATTTTGATTCTAGAAGTTTTATTGCTTTAGGTTATCTTCCACTCACAAATTCCTTAAATGGTATTCTGAATTTATCAAAAAATTGTCAAAGTAAAAAATATGAAAGATGTAAAATTATGTAGGTTTCGTTAATTTACAATATCAAGTCTAGTATAAACAAAAGTTCAAATATCAATGTCGCGGAAATATATGTATATTTGTATTTTAGTAGTATAACACAAGGTTAAGGATTATCTTGTAGAAGAAAATCATTAAAAAAAAGATAAATATATAAAATATTTGTCGTCTTTCCCATTTGCGTTCCTCCAAAATATAAAGCAAACTCAGATCTCACGACTTTTCTTCTCTCACAGAAACACCATGAGGATACCAACGACGCTGCTCCTCTTTGTCGGAGCTCTCATCTTCTCCGGCGCTGGGACTGTGAGATCCGATGCATCTGACCACCGTTACAAGGACGGCGACTCCGTTCCTCTCTACGCCAACAAGGTCGGCCCGTTTCACAATCCCAGGTAAAACAAAATCCATTCTACTTGCGTGTCGGCAGCTTCCTTAGATCTGAGATTGTCTTGGATGAGAAATTGATCTTTGACTGTACATGCGATTGATGTAAAAGCTGTGATGTTGTTGCAATTTCTATCTATCGATTCCGAGTCCTTGAAAACTCGGTTCATCCTCTAGAATGTGTAATGTAATTTGAAGAAATGTTTCAATAGATCTTTGTTCATACGCGCATCTATCTTAGATTTCGTTGTCGTATGACTGATTTTTTACTTCTGTTTGATGATGATCGCAGTGAGACGTATCGGTATTTCGATCTGCCCTTCTGTGTTCCAGGTACGAGCAAGCTTTTGAATTTCTGTTTCTGAGCAATCCAATTTATTCCTTCGTCCACTCACTAAGCTAGATGTTTACACTTCAAACCCAAATTCGCCAGTTGTTTTACTGATAAATTGTTATTGACGGCATGCGAAATAAGCTTGAGGTCTTTTCATTTTGAATCGTTTATGCAAATCCAATGTTTTCTCTCGCTTATGTGAGCTTTGCACTTTTCAGATCTCTTTATTTTTAGTCATATGCACTCTGATCCATTTCTCTTTTTGATTTTTGCAGAGGGAGTGAAAGATAAGAAGGAAGCTCTTGGTGAGGTTTTGAATGGGGATCGGCTTGTTAGTGCTCCATACAAGCTTAACTTCAGAGATGAAAAGGACTCGGAGACGTACTGCAGAAAGAAGCTTAGCAGAAAAGATGTGGAGCAGTTTCGAAGGGCTGTTGAAAAAGACTATTACTTCCAAATGTACTATGATGATCTGCCTATCTGGGGATTCATTGGCAAAGTTGACAAAGAGAGCAAGTCAGATCCGAGCGAGTTCAAATATTTCCTGTACAAGCACATCCAGTTCGAGATTTTGTATAACAAGGACCGTGTGATCGAAATCAATGCTAGAATGGATCCTCATTCGCTTGTGGATCTCACTGAGGACAAGGAAGTGGATGCAGAGTTTATGTACACTGTGAAGTGGAAGGAGACAGAGACTCCTTTCGAGAAGAGAATGGAGAAGTACGCCATGTCTTCTTCTCTTCCACACCACTTGGAAATCCACTGGTTCTCCATTATTAACTCATGCGTCACTGTCCTCCTTTTGACCGGTTTCCTTGCAACCATCTTGATGCGGGTCCTCAAGAATGATTTCATGAAGTAAGCTTTGAATGCTGACTCTCTGTTCGTCATGCTTAACTCAACGATGTACATTTCTTCCTCCCGATTTAAAACTTTTTCCCCTGTCTTCAAAGGTATGCTCAAGACGAGGAAGCTGCTGATGATCAAGAGGAAACTGGATGGAAGTACATTCATGGTGATGTGTTCCGGTTCCCAAAGCACAAATCTCTCTTTGCTGCATCTCTCGGTAGCGGGACACAACTGTTCACTCTGTAAGTCTCTTTTTCAATTCCTGAGACATTCTTCTCTCGCTCATATCTTTATTTCCTAATTGCCAATCACTTTAATGTACTTTCCCTCTTATGTCATCAGCACCATATTCATCTTCATGCTTTCACTTGTTGGAGTGTTCTATCCATACAACCGAGGAGCGCTCTTCACTGCTTTGGTCGTTATCTACGCTCTCACATCTGGAATCGCCGGATACACCGCCTCCTCTTTCTACTGTCAACTCGAAGGAAAGAACTGGGTATGTAAACCTAAACGTAAACTCTTTTCCTCAAAACTCTTTTTAGCAGAACGCATTAAAAATTAATAATTTCTTTTTCCTCAGGTGAGAAATTTGTTGCTCACTGGAGGACTCTTCTGTGGCCCACTATTCCTCACCTTCTGCTTCCTAAACACCGTCGCAATCGCCTACAGCGCAACCGCCGCTCTTCCCTTTGGAACCATTGTTGTGATCGTCCTTATATGGACACTAGTGACCTCGCCTTTGCTTGTATTGGGTGGCATCGCCGGTAAAAACAGCAAAGCTGAGTTCCAAGCTCCTTGCCGCACCACTAAGTACCCCAGGGAGATCCCGACACTCCCATGGTACAGGAGCGCGATACCTCAGATGGCCATGGCTGGTTTTCTTCCTTTCAGTGCCATCTACATCGAGCTATATTACATATTTGCCAGTGTTTGGGGCCACCGGATCTACACCATTTACAGCATCCTCTTCATCGTCTTCATCATCCTCTTGATCGTTACAGCTTTTATAACCGTTGCCCTTACTTACTTCCAACTTGCTGCTGAAGATCACGAATGGTGGTGGAGGTAAGTTAAATTCACTCAAATCCGTTTTCGTCTCGGTTTGGAATTTGGATTATTTGATTTATAAAAGCTTCATTCTTTATGGCAGATCGTTCCTATGCGGTGGATCGACTGGTCTGTTCATATACGCGTACTGCTTATACTATTACTACGCAAGATCAGACATGTCCGGTTTCATGCAAACCTCCTTCTTCTTCGGTTACATGGCTTGCATTTGTTACGGTTTCTTCCTCATGCTCGGAACCGTTGGCTTCCGCGCCGCTCTCCTCTTCGTCCGCCACATTTACCGGTCGATCAAATGCGAGTGAAAACTGTTGCTGCCCAATCATCGCTCACTCGAAAGGCTTCCCGTACGATTTTTGGTAGAACGAAGGAGATGATGAAGAAGAGATCGGTTCTTCTTTAGGTAGATAAAAAGACTTCCTTTTAAAGCCAAAAATCCAAATATCAAAATGGCTTTTTAAGGTTTGATTTTCATAGGGATGTTTTTACGGTAATTGCTTTAAGTTTTTTCCCCTTTTTTTTTGTTGAATGTTTTATGTGAAACTTCTGTTGTTTAGGTGAGTCTCTCTTTTCTCTGTTTCTGCTACTACTATAGTGTTTTTCTTTCACTTTTTTGGGTAATTAATTAACTATATTGTATCTCTTTTTTTCTAAAGACGAAAATACCGATGATCCTTTTATTCTTTTTTCGTTTTCTTGGATCTAAAGCCTTACTTGCTAGCCTCGGGTTGATAGCTCTCGCACGGAACAAAAAGTGTCCGGGAATAATTAATTGATCGCAAGAAATTGGCGGTTCGTGTTGTACCAATGATTTCACGGCCGACCCGGACCGGTTAACCTGTGATCTGGAGCACCAAGTATAGATTTGATTTTCGTATGTTTTGCTAATATAAAACACTCATTTGTGCAATCAAATTTTTGACAAAGAGCAAATTTATCAAACAGAAAATAGAAAATAGAGCAAAAAAATTAAAGTTATCTCTTGTAATTTTAATGTATGCTTTATGTTAGTGATGTATTGGATTAGGCTGATGAAATCGATTAACAGAAAATTTTTTAAAAAACTATGCGGAATATTACATATCAACGAGCCTAGTTTCTTCGGAACAATAATCTTAGGTCTTGTCAGAGTTAGAAGACTAACACGAAAGGCAAACGTGCGTGTTCATAGGGATGGTAGTAATTATGATTTTTGCTTTGACGGGGGAAAGCCTAAAGTGCTTTTCACACTTGGTTAATTTCTCATTCTAATATGGGCACAGTCACAACTCACAAACACATGGTTCTCAACTAGATATTGTATTGAGATAATAACATCTATTTTCTTATGTATGTCCTCGAAGAGGCAGATAATAACATCTATAGAAATGTTCATTTTCAAAATAAAATGGCTTGATTAAAAAAAAAAAAAAAGTGGCCTGCATGCCGTGGTAAAAAACTCTATGCCACGTTAGCAAAGAAAAAGAGAGTATTGACTGTGTGTAGTAAGAAAAGAAAAAAGCTGAATATGTTTTGACAAGGATTTAACAGGAAACAGAAACAGAGTACTCACCCAATCATTTGAACACAGTAAGAAAAAGAAACGCGTGCCAGTTACGACAGTTTTGGTCCCTCTCGAGCCTCTTTTAGCTTTTTAACATGATTTGATTAAAAAAAATTACAAATTTACAAAATGAATAAACAGAAAATGCTTAATACAGTATTTGTTACCTCACATCACACATGCATAGATTTCCACGTGTTTCGTCTTCTTTCAATATATAATCTGAAACAAGTATTAACATCACCTGCATTAATTGATCTAAAAATCGCCATCTTCTAGTTTTCTTATCATGCTTTATAGAATTGGTTCTTTGGTTGTAATTTATTGATATTTATGGTATTAATTCTATTTTGGTAATTAGATTTGAACGCTTATCTACATGTAAAATGGTATACAGTAAGGTTAAAAAAAAAACAAGGTATACAGCATTTTCTTTGATTTTTGGCATTAGTGCACATCATATATATTATCATTACGTCTCCATTCTCAAAGATATTATCCAATTATTATCAACCATGATTTATAACAACATTGATTCTTATATTTTCTTTAATCATTTGAACTTCAAGCCATGCTTGGTTGACCATTTTGAACTTTTACACCTTTTCTAAGAAAATGATTCCAGATTCCTCCACTACATCTACATTTAAAACTGATTGCAAGTAGAAATCTGGTTTAGTGTCAAGTTCTTCAGATCTCGTTCTTAAATTAGTTTGGGCTGGAACTTCCATACGTGGAGCTAAAAAAATGGTAGTAACTCATAAGCCACTAGACAAAGAAGGAACAAAACTAACAAAAATCACAAGTATATGTATATATGATCGAAACGGAGTCCTGCCACTAGTCCGGAGTGCTATACTGGTTATTATAATAAAATTTTCATCTAAGCGAAATCTACATCTATCTGGCTATTGACAAGAGCCGTCTAGTTACATAAATTAGTAAAATATTTGTATATGATTTATAATTTAGTAATTTATAGAGAGTCTAATCTGCTAGCATAAAAAAATCGAGTACATGACTTAAAAGAGTGTTTTATAATTAAGTCTAAACTCTTAAGCATGCGAGTTTAGTTGAGAATTTTACTAAAGGAAAAATTAGAACAATGATTTCTATAAGATCGAAATTCTATAGAGAAATTATATGTATATATTAGATTTCATTAATTATTATTATTTCCTTGTGACAAAACTCCATATACATTTGCATATGTTAGAAGAACAAAGATTCATTATTGCATTGTTAACTATATTTAATCAGATTTCAACTTTTTTGAGACGCTACCATGATTTAGATTATAAATTTATTAATAAAATAAATTTTAGTTATCTCTACCGGTGTCACTGATTAATTTTCAAAGAAAAGAAACTCCAGAAACCATAGAATTTAAATTTGGTAGAGAGATATATTAGGTTTGGTCCAAAACTCGCCAAAGAAAGAAAATGATGTAAGTTGTACCACCGAGACCATAGCATGTTTTTAGGCTTGTTTGGAAAGTTTCAAAACGAACGATATACTTCAATTATTTGTTGTAGGTTGACGTGTAAATGCGCCTCTTAAGATACGGTCAATAGAAGATAGTTTTTTAAGTGAAATTAGTACTTTTGGTCGTGTGTGTATAAAATATTATTTATACATGCATATATAGATTATGTATTCTTTGCATTACATACATGTATTTAGTTGTATACTGAAACGCTCGACCTTGATATTTGACTAATTACAAATAGATAGAATTATCTTAGTAAGAGTAAATTCTTAGTCATTTTAAAAGAGGAAATGCCCATTCTTTTTTTGTATGATTAAATCATGTTCATTCTTTACGAGGACAAGCAATCCTTTGTAGTATAGAAATTCAAATCCCTACAAAAATATTCATACTGTATGTCGAATATATAGTTTGTTAGCTAGAGCGGTCAAACAAACTAATGTTCAACAGAAAACATTGAAAAAATCATATAAAAACACATATATAAGTATTAGTGGTAGTGAAAAGAAAGAAATGAGTAAAGAAGTATTTAAACAATATTGGGGGCAAAGGAATCATAACCTCTCATGCCACTAAACCACGAGCTAATTGATGTTGTTCCTTTTGTGGGCCTTTTTCACTGCTCCACTATTCGGTTCTATTTATTTATTTATTGAATAGAATCAATAATATACTCTATAGTCACCAATAGTGTGAGATATTATAATACACAAATCACATCATAGGTGATAAGATTTGCACTACACTAATTGTAATGGAAAAGAGCTCTAGGAATAATTATTCCTTACTAAAAAGTAGAAATGGTGATCTTAGAGAAATCGTCGCTTGTGCAACGAAATGATAGCTAGAGTATATACCAATTGAAGTATAGAAACATCACTATAGAATGATATATGTAAACATAATACTATTCTCTTTTTTTGGTCGAAAAAAACTTCTTTTGAAGAACAACTATAGATACACTTGTGACCAATTAGTTATCTATCAAAATTACATTTATTATGATACTTATACATAGGTGGATCATGCTTATAAAAGTCCACACATGATCTTGGTGGGATATGGCAATGTAATGATGAAAAGGATGGAGTGTGTGACTTGGAACATTATATAAAGGCTACATTTATGGCATATAATATGATACTAAACTAATAGAAAGCATATAAAATGTAGAAAAATAAGTGAGCAACATAATGGTTACACCATAAAGTTTGTTATTGTAATTTGTAAAGTCACATCTCTCTGTTCATTCCCCCCACGCCTCTGCCTCGATAGTGAACCTTGGATCAAACAATTACACATTTTACAGCCAAAACAACAAAAAAACACACATTTCATATGCGATGCATATTATGATTAAGTTGGGTCCCATTTATTTTGACCATACACCTCACAAAATGAAATACAGTAAAACTTCTATAAATTAATAATATTAGGATTCTTAAATTTTATTAATTTATAGAGTTATTAATTAATCGATAAATTAATAATTATTAATTTATCAATATATTAATATTTTATTAATTTATAGAGATATTTTTAGTTTAAAATTTTAATATTCATCAAAAAAATAAAATCAATATTTTCAACAATGTAAAATTTATTCAAAAAATATCATAATAATGAATTTAAAAGATAAATCAAACAAATTTTATAAAATTGAAACAACAATATTATCATACTGTACTATATTATATTATTATATACCTAAATATATTATTATTAATTTATATTATTATTGTGACCATATTTTTACATAAAACTTTCAAAAATATATTATCTTATTATCTTATCGAATTTTATCAATTTTTACACTGGCCCAACTTAAGACCGGTAAAAATTATTAATTTATAGTGATTATTAATTTATCGAATATTAATTTATAGAGGTTCTACTGTATAGTGCTCTAGCCTTTGCTTTGCAATAATTCAAAATTAGAAGCTAATTTGATTATGGACTATAGTTTCTAATAGAATGGTTTTTCACTCCAAAACTTAGCTTGAGAAGTTATTTAGAGAAATCATCACATGTAAAAAACGTTATTCGATAAAGAGGTCAGTAATTAACTTTCAGAATTGATATAAAAATTATAAGCATCAATGATAAACACAAACTAAATTTAAAAATAACAAAAGCAGCTTTTTCTTTTCTTCAAAAAAAGCCCTTTTTCTTCCCCTTCCTCTGCTTTAGCATCGCCGCAGAACAGAAGTCTTTATCATCCAGTTTCTTCACTTAACTTACTTCTCCTTCTCCATTCAAACTCCAAAAACCTCATTTACAATGACTCATTCACTAAACCGGGTTCGGATCCGGATCCGAATTCAAATCTCCTTCGTCTTCATCCTTACCCATTTCTCTCTATCTTCTTCCTCCGACCAAACCTCAATCAAGACCGACGCATTGTCTCTCCTCTCTTTCAAATTGATGATCCAAGACGATCCAAACAACATTCTCTCAAACTGGACCCCTCGAAAACCCCCTTGTCAATTTTCCGGCGTCACTTGTCTCGCCGGAAGAGTCTCTGAGATCAATCTCTCCGGTAGTGGTCTCTCCGGAATCGTCTCCTTTAACGCTTTTACCTCTCTTGATTCTCTCTCAGTTCTTAAACTCTCTGAGAATTTCTTCGTTTTAAACTCAACCTCTCTTCTTCTTCTC